CTTATTTTGACTTTAACTCCTAAACACTAGTATTGTAAGAAGGAAGTTATGTTGTCTGGCAATTAAAGCGGATAACACGAAACGTCTATAAACAAATATTTTATACAAAGTTGTGGAGTACTTTTATTCGTTTTTGGGCGTCCTCTTAGAACTTGTACTTGATCGAACAGTTCGCGCCTTTGAGCTGCCTAATAATGGCTACCAGTTCCAAAAACAAACGTTCAATGTTCACCTCCATTGACAGGCACAGTATCAGTAAAGTTGAGATGTTTTCTATTCATTGAATCCACATAACCCATATTACAGTGCACCAATCAGTGCAAATATATTAACTCCACTTAGAAATAACCCCTCAACTTACGATAATTCCTGTTCAAACGCACATAGGGTGTAAGACACATCTACATCTGAGTTGCTAGCACAGTGGTTAGGAGTCTTGCCGACCATGCACATGGTCCGAGTTTCGATCCCTTGCTGACGCACACCTGATATCTATGGTCGACCTGCAAAATTTGGGCTACCGATATCCATGCCGAAAATTCCATACCTGTACCAAAAATACGGCGTGGAATCAAGCTGTAATAATGAAATTGAAAAATTTTTTGTACATGAGGGACTCCAGTTTACAGGCATCATCAGTTCGATAAATTACACATACGATTAGTAAGCGTAGTTAGTAAAGATAATATAATAAGATGCATTTTTTCCTACCTGTGTGGGATACACCAGTTGTATAAGCATGCATAAGTATTGTTTAAATGATAACTTCTCTTCCCACACAAGGTTCCGTTAGCATCTGTAGGTGATTTCCATGTACTGATAGCGTTCTTTTGTCAAATAGTACTGTTGTGCATACGAAAATAGGCCGCATACTTTGATATGCTAAGACGTGGGGACTTCATTGAATAATACGATGTCAAAAGGTGCTTCTACATAAACTAGACTATTTGTGTAGATAACATTATCCCTCGACTATTCCATCTTGCTCATTATAGCGATATTTTCACACAGTTCGCCTGAAACACTAATCATTGCAACCAATACGCCAACAGTAAGACGCCGCCAGATCACATGTCGCGGACACCACCATGACTTCTAAGAAAATGAGGATCCTATCAATCCGGAAAACATATAACACAATTTATCAAAACTCATTGACAAAAAAATTTACCAACCGAAATTTCAACCAACGTGACGAATAATTCCAGCCATGAATACTTCTCTTTCGGTGCTCAATTATTTTGGATCTATTCAGCCAAGTCTTGACCACAGTTCACATGAATTGTTTGTCATATTTAGCAAAGCCCTTGATAAACTCCCACACTTCATACTCTTGGAAAAACTCTAATCCTACCGAACACGCAGAAAGACTCTCAAACGGATAAAATCCTTTCTTACAGAAAGAAAGCATTAAGCGTGAAACCTTTAACTCATTAAATAGTCAGTAGAACAACTGGATCTCGTCTTTCCAATTCATATCATTTTTAGATACAACGTTTTTCTTTCTCTGCTTTCCTTTTCTTTTTCTTTTTTCTGTTGTGTGAGGCTTTGTTTCTTTCTTCTGCTTACGCCAGAAAATATGTTAGCATCTACTTTTCTAACACCCTCAAACACTGTTCAATTTTGGCTTTGCCGACATGCTAATAAGCTGTTGTCATAATGAACTGAGATTTCCTTAGTCTATATAGAATTTTCTTTATTGATAATGCACTAACTGAATGCAATACTGTAGTAAAATGCTGAGAATTCCATTCTGTATCGCAAGTACTGTTTTGAAATAAAGCTATTATCATTATTATTATTCAAGAAAGTATCCAATGTCCAATATCGTGGTAAGTCAAAATTAACTACCAGCTGTCTAAACCATAGTCGATAACTAGCGGTGTAATAAAAGGAAGTGTTCTTGGCCCTATTCTATTCCTCTTATTCATAAATGACATTGTTTCTGTGATCGAGAATAGCAAACTACCGATCTCCGACCTGTGGGGCAGAGCACAATCAGCCACTGCTCAGCACTATCACATGGATACGAGATATGGGCTACGACCGAATCACCATAGCTGGAGATTTTAATGCCCCATCGCTGAACCTTGGCTCGGGGTGTGCTAAGGGAAAATTTGGCCGAAACCTACTGCAAACTATTCGAAACACGGGACTGACTGAGAATGTTCGAGACGACACTAGGCGGGGCCCCAGTGGAAAGTCATCAAAACTAGATTATATTTTAACTAGTGACCAACTACTCGTCGAAAAGTTCCAGATCATGACTCCTCTGGGAAGCAGTGACCATGCAGTCATAGGTTTCGATCTTGTTCTCCATGAGCGTTTGCAGTGGGACGTTACGCGACCATGTCTGTGTCGCAGCAAGGCCGACTAGGCTGAAAAGCGGAGGTTCTTGTCCGACACAGACTGGCCCATAGCATGGGACGACCTATCTGTGGATGAACACTGGGAAGTGGTAAAAAAGATTATTCATATAGCAATCTCGTATACCGTCCCTTTAGTCGCAACAAAGCCCAGGAGAAAGACTTCATGGTTGAAGAGAGGCACGCAACGTATTCTGCAAGCAAAGTGGAAGGCTTGGTTTACGTGGCGTGTACCTATCTAAGAGTCAGACCGACCACGATGCACACCTCGAACTCAGGTACCGGTGTAATGCAAGAGTCGGGAGGGACAGGAGCTCATTCCAGGATAACCTTGCTAAAAAACTCCTAGCAAACCCCAGAATCTTGTACCGACTCATGTCGGAAAGAAAACCGACAAACCAAGGGGCATGCGCCTTAGTAGGCCCAAACGGTCAATATCTCACTAGTCCGGAGATGGCTGAAACATTCAGTTCAGCCTTCGCAAAACAGCTAAACAGCAATGTGGATATTACAGTTACGGACCAAAATGGTGGCACCACTATTTCACAGGAGGAAGACCTAGCGACTAGTCCCCAAATAAACCCCGCAATAGTACTAAGGAAGCTACAACGACTCACACCTGGGAAGTCCCCAGGTTGTGACGACATCAGGCCATCTGTTCTGAAAGAGTGCGCCGAAGCTCTCTGTAGACCCCTGTGCGACTTGTTCCAACACTCAATGGATTCGGGGACACTGCCAAGGGAGTGGAAAAGAGCCATCCTTTCTCCAATCTTCAAGGGTGGGGACAGGCAAAACGCTACTAGCTATAGACCAGTAGCTCTACTCCCAGTGGTATCAAAAGTACTGGAAAGTATTATTGACGACCACATCAGGGAATATGTCGATAGGACTAATATACTACATGAAGCCCAACATGGTTTCAGAAAAGGCAGATCCTGCGTCACTAACCTACTGTCAGCTTGGGACGACTGGACATCATGCTGGGATATGAATGTACCAGTCCATGTGGTCTTCCTAGACTTTGAGAAGGCATTTGACACTGTTCACCATGACCTTCTCCTACATAAAATAAGCCAGGCAGGTATAGGTGAGCCACTTCTGTCATGGTTAAAGGACTACCTAGCCGACAGGCAATTTCGCACTAAGGTTAACCGAGTCCGATCATCTTGGCACAGCTCGTCATCAGGAGTGTCGCAGGGTTCTATCCTAGGACCACTGATGTTTTTGATTTTTATCAATGATCTACCACGCCGTCTGAGCTGCCCGACTCTCCTATACGCTGACGACGTAAAAATATGGAGGGCGATAAAGTGTCCGGAGGACTCAGATAGGCTACAGGAAGACCTAAACCTTCTGGAAGACTGGGCGGTGGCCAGTGGCATGACTTTCAACTTGAAAAAGTGCAAAGTAGTGAAGTTGCGCACCTGTAGACTGCAGAATGCAAGTTACACCCTGTGCAATGAAAGCTTGTCCTGCACAACGTCGGAACGCGACTTAGGTCTAGTTCTAACGGAAAAAATGGACACAAGCGTAAATTACACAGGGGATGTAGCGAGGGCATATGCGGTCATACACTTTACGCATAGACAGTTAGGTGCACTCACTCCTGAGCTCTTTCTAATGTTGAACAAAACATACTTCAGGCCACACCTTGAGGTGCACAATATTATTGCACCCCAATGCTGAGAAGAGACGCCAACCTCTTGGAAAGAGTCCAACGACGGCAACAAAAGGAGTGGTTGGTCTCCAAAACAAACCATATGATGAAAGGCTGAAGAAATTAGGCCTGTTCACACTTAGTTACCGTCGGCTTAGGGGGATTTGATTACTGCCTACAAAATAACAAGTGACCAGAATCACCCAAACAAAGGTGTTCTGCCATTGAGTAGTTATAGGCTCCCACGTGGAAATCCCAGAAGGATAGCTCACCAGAGTGCAAGGACCCGGGTGCGCTCCAACTTCTTTTCACTGCGGGTTTGCCGTCCCTGGAATTCCTTACCGGCAGATGTTGCTATGGCACCGTCTTTGGACGCCTTTAAGCGAAGCCTGGATAGCCATGCAGCGATACAAGGACTGCATCCAAATGGCCTATCTCCTTAAAATCGCATACACCATTCAGGGGTAGACAATTAAACTCGTCGTTTTACTTCTTTACATTCTCCCCCGTTTTACTTTCTTGACAACTTATTAATATTATTATTACTGTTATTATTACCGATATATATATATTATTCTTCAATCTTAATCAGCTGACTGTTGTTACGCTTTCCTATTTCCATTTCTTTCTCAGTCTGAATAACTTCACCAATTATATCTATTATTAGCATTATTATTATCATTACTATCTCTTTTCTCTTGTCGACGATACCAAAGGACTAACTGGTGAAAGGATAAACTACAATCACAGTAGTAACAGTCTTAACACACCTCATACTACAAACCACATATAATTAATCCCAGCACTACTCCCTTTGGAGTCAACCAAAGCTACGACAGTCGGGTGGCGGGACAAGCTACGCAGAAGTTTACCGAAGATCAGGAACCTATACCTTACAATCAAGAAGCGAGCACAAAGAAATCAAATTGGCTTATACTAGCTCGTAAAAACGATATTGGAAATTGGATGAGCAATCTTTCGAACTCAAGGTCGGATGTATAGGAGTTGAGCTAGTAGGACACTTCTCTGCAACAGGTAAAGTTGCAGAATGGTAGCTAAAACCAATTATCTGCAGGATATCTTTGCGGCAAATTACTTAATTCACCGTGGATATTTTGTATTTTTTGATTTTAATATGCTGCTAATCTGATCTTACAACTTCATTGACTATAGGGTTGAGGTTTATTTTATGTTTACGGTTATTATAAGCCTAGAGCAAGGGAGAATTATTACGTATACATTCGCAGTTACCATCTAAGGTCATTCAATGCAACTTAATTGGTTATGCTGACTGTTTAGAGACTTGAGTTTATATCCGTCGTATGTATTTCTGAGCCATCTAAGCTATACCAAGGCACGGGGTCACATGATTTCAATAGGAGTGTTGAAAATTTCGGCCGCTGTAATAGATTGTAACTTAACACATGATCCCCTATACGTCAGTACTAATGGCTGACCTGACCGCCTCTAAATTTATCCCACTACCTACAGATTGACATATATATGAAAGATACTGAAAGAACATATTTATAAGCCACTTACCTCTATGATGCAAGTTAGTGAAAGATGAATTCAGACGTGCCTTAGTGTCCATCACCTACCCTCAGAAATACTTACGTACCACCAGGTGCAAGTATGCTTACTGGAGGTCGCCAGACATTCCCATCTTAAAAGCAGGTTTCCTGGGCACAGAACAAGACTGTCACAAATGCATTGCTTGATAACCCAGCTGGCATTGGAACTTCCGGTCACAGAATCGTTATATTTCTCTCTGACTTTGTATATATAGTTGTCCATTTCAAACATTACACCACGAAAACTCATAACTTGACAGATGTCCCTCACGAACTGTTTCCTTGTTGGCCTAAATTCCTGTCGATCTTCGGTTATCAAAATAGAAATTATTGACCATGCTCACTAGTCACCAACTAAATGGCCTGTGTGTTGTTGATCTACACAAGGGTGTTTATATCACTTTGGTCTGGCTAGTAAGCAGTACATTTTGATGTGAAATATCTTCAACCACTCATACTAACCAGCAGCATCTATCGTCATGCTGTTTAGCTTTTCAACTTGGTTGCCAGTTTTGGAGATAAGGAGATCACATCCTGCTCTCGGGAAATGAGTTTTTTTAAGAACTTTGAAAATTCCGAGAGGCCTTTTGACTTTTAACACTTTTGTTTTGATGAATTTCACATAAGTTGCATAAACGCCCTCTAAGGACAAGTAAAATTGTAGTCTCAGTCCAGACTGATAGAATACTCTGCTGTAACTTCTCAAACGATTTCTCCACTTTACTGACGTCTGTTTCACCTTTTAGACTAAAGCTAGCTCGTGTGAATCTGTAGTTTCAAGGCACTGTAATACTTATAGTTACTTCTAGCAATCGCATCTCATTAGGTAAGTTAGTGAGACGTTTTCAAGAGTGAGGCGTTTAAACTCAGGATCAACTGCCAGTCAGTGTTTAGTTTATTCATTCATCATCTTCCCTACAAATAGTCTGATTAACATTGTGATTCTTGTCACTGGTTTGAATGGCTTGGAACAGTTGTCAACATTGGCTAAATACAACTGTTACTTCCGTCTATCTCACACAATGTGATCGCCATGCCTGTCGCTCCCTAAACTATTGGTATACTCCAAAATCAGAGTAATAATGTTTGAGTTTTCGTCCTGTCACTTTTAATGCTTATACATACGCTTACTGTGGTAAAGATATTTAGGCAGCTTCTTTGGCTTTAATTTTTGCTTAATGTGCTGACGACAGTAATAGACATCACACCTCCTTATTAGTTGTTTATTATTGCAATAAGTGGTTAACCTAAAGTGAAGTGATGACGTGGTTAGTTTCTGACCACAATGTGAATAATTTGCCATCAACAGGACTGATGTTGTTTCAGGTTGCATTAGTTCCAAATGTAATTTACTGTAAAAAAAATTCTCCAGTGATCTATCTGCAATGATTGGAACAGTTGCACTCTATTTATTTCATCTAATCTGTTTCAGATTTTACTTACCTTGAGCAATACTATATGATCATTTTTCCAGAAATACCATCCATTGAATAAAACTTTACCATTCTCTACTATCAATAGATCTAATATAGGACTATACATTGTCATGTCACGTAGATTTGGGCGGGGGTGGGTGTAGAAATCTTTACACCATCTTTGATTTTGGAGACGTTCTGGTAAGAATAGATTCCTGGAAGCTACCATAACATTGTGATTGAAGTTCTACATCACGATAACTGGATGGGCTCTGTTGGTTGAAATTATTGTTACCTGAGAACTGACAACGCCAAAAAAATTCAGTTCGTGAACATTAATGGTGAAAGTGATTCTTTTCATTTCTTCCCATTCAAAAATTTATCTGCTGCTTTGAAAATCACTAGTTTGTCTACAGAACTTGCGGAAAAGTCGCTGTAGAACGGCTTCATTTCAGTTTACGTTTTGAGAAAAGAAGTGTGAATAGAGATTATACATATATATAATAACTTCGGTTCCCAGTAGAACACAGGGATTCAGCAACACATCACTTTGTTCGCTCTTCTTCTATCCTCTTCAGCCGGATCCACGATTGCCCATAATGTCTCATTTCCTCTTCTCAAGGTCTCCTCCATGTCACCCTCGCGTTGACGACCCACTCGTCGACCCCACTGGGATTCCACTCGAGCAAAGGCCTCCATCGCGTGCGATGTCATTCAGCGGCTTCCTAAACATTTGCCCTATCCATCTCCATTTCCTCCTACATATTTGTTGAGCAATCTGCTGTTGGCTTGTTTCCAGACAGAGTTTCTTGTTGCGAATTATCTTTGGCTGCCTATCTGATCTTCAATATAGAACAAAGGTAGCTGTTGATAAAAGTTTGCAACAGGCTGTTAGAAATGCTTTTCGTGTCACGCAGTGCAAGTCCTCTGACCCGTATAGAAGAAGTGACTGATTTAACACTTTTGTTGAAAATCCGAATATTCTTCTTTGTGCTGAGACAGAGTGCAGAAGATTTCCAAACTGGTTTCAGGTTGATGAAGGCGTATCTTGCCTTTCCGATTCTGTCTGTCTGTCTGGTCCAACATAGTTTTGAAACTTTCATCCGTTCCGCCTGTAAGTGGAATGATGCTTTTTGGCTGGATAAGTGAAAGAAGTGACCTTTGTTGAATCTCTCCCGTTGTTGGCGCGGTTCGTCTGTGGTGTCCCTAGTGGTTTTGTCCTTCAGTTTCTGAATGCTGGACTTGAATTACAGTGGCCTGTCTTCAGTTGTTCCGAAGGATTTCAGCGTCACCTTGAAGATTCCTTGAACTACACTATGTTCTGAGCCTACACCCGCCCCCTTCCCGACTTTGTGTCCAGCAGACTGACTGCGTCTCCACGTCCTTGAGCAGCAATGAGATGAAATCTGTCTGGTTTGTAGTGTGTCCGTCAGGCGAAATTCATGTTGCTTTGTGTTTATCCTTTTGCTTGTACACTCTGCCTCCGATCACCAAATCACTGAAAGCGCAGAAGTCTGGGAATAATTGATATAAGAGTAGAACTTGTGCACTGTGGCAGAGTATAATTCTATTATGAGTAAAATTTATTTTTATAGAGTCTCAGTAATGTTTACTGATGATCACGTTTCGAGCCCAATTTATTACTGCTCATAATCATATCAGGGTGGGTATAATTCTCCGTTCTCATTCATTTCTCCCAGTGACAGCCTCTCGACCCATGATAAGTTGTATTCCTCTTTTGTCTGCTCCCAGTTCGTCTGGCATTCATATCATCCATGAGGATTTTCATGTCACCATTTCGGATGTTGTTCACAGCTATTTGTAGTTGTCTATAAAAGTCTTCTCTTGTTCCGCGTGTTTGCAGCACTGTGCGTAGCATTGGATAATTGTTAACTTCCTTCCTTTTGAGTTGAATTTTGCTGTCGTGACCCTGGATGAAATTGGTTCCCACTCCATCAGTGGTTTGGCTGCTACTGGTGACATTATGATAGGCTCTTACCGCCTCAGTGTGCTCGTGGCTGTCGTCTAGGTGACCACATCGTTGACAGTTTTGACAATCCACATCCATTCCATATGCTCTCTCAGATTCCCAGCACTTCTGTGCCATATTCTATCATTTCTTTGGTTACCTGGGCAACCTTCTCAGCCAGTCTCGTACATTCCACGTCCTTATTCTTGCTTTCAACGAGAGGAGACATTGGCTGACTGACTGACTAGCTTCCCGAAAACAGGCTTTCACCAACTCTCTGTGTCGTTTCACCTCTCCGATTCTACCAAAGAATGAGTTTTTTTGAATTTCTTGTATTTTTGGTATATTTCTTGTGCATTGATGTTTCTGTAGCAGTTTGATTGGTTTTATGGTGTAGGGTCGCTAGCCCCTATGTCCAACCCTCCCTCTTTTCCGGGGCTTTGGATCGACTAGAAAACTAGCGAGCTACTAAACTACGCGAGGTTATATATCTGTGTATATAAACAGCACTGGGTATACAAATCCCTTTCTGTTTACTTTTGTTTAAACTCAATCCTTGTGACAGGTTATATGTTCCGAATTGAGCCACACTTATTTCTGTGGGCAACAGTGGAGAATGGATGCCACGGCGAAATGGCCTTGAACGAATCATATTCTCTGAGGTGGGTGTGAAGTGGCATAATAAGATGAGCAACATGGAGGTTAGGCGTAGAGTTCTAGGTAAACAGGGGAAATCAATCGACGAAGTCGTGAAGCTACAAAGACTGAGATGGTTAGGACATGTGTTACGTATGCCAAGCCATCGCCTCCCCCGACGAGCTATGTTAGCGGATATAGGGTCAGGCTGGAAAAAAGCTAGCGGCGGTCAAACAAAAACTTGGCATCAGTCAATGAAATCCACAACAGTTGGTCTAAGCCACGTAGAAAGGTGTAAACTTCCAGGCTGGGGTCCTCGGGTCGGTAAAAATCTATGGTTGGAAACAATTGGTGACATGGCTCAAACTCATCGTTCTCAGTGGCGCAGATGCATCCACTCCTTGTGACTTATGATCTTCAATGAAACTGTTTTGTATTTCTTTATTACTCCTTTGTCTCACACCTCTGCTTACTGTCTCTATTATGCTTTTCTTGTACTTTCTTCTCTTGCTTCGCGTGCTACACGGAATGTGGCGACTTGAACTTCCGCACATTTGTGCAAAGTTCTATGTCGAAAACAGACAGACAGATCTAGCACTTTGGCATATAAAGCATATTTACGGGGTAAATATTAATTATACGGTGTATATGCCTCTATTATGCTGCAAAATAGGTCCCAGTTTTCAGTAGTAGTGATTTTAGACATATACTATTCTAATCCAATAGGATCTATATGAATACATACCAGTTTAAAGATCTGCTAATCCTGATGAATGATCGATCGACTGTGGGATGGATATATCTTGATGGTGATAGCCAAAATGCCCAACATTTCCAATGGGTATATTCATGAAGACATTTAGGAGACAAAAAATAACTTGAGCAAAGAATATTCTTTTCAAATGGATGCTGTCCGTAGTCTTCTTTGCAAGTTTCACCCTAACCTAACCCCGCCCCTAACTTAGTCATACCCTACACTGACCTCAACTGTAACTGTATCTCTGAATCAAGGGGAACCTTACGACGAAGGCTATGGAAAGCATTTTCTTGTAGTCCTGACCTATCTAATTGGTTGGTTCATAGTCATTTGGCTGTAGTGTATCTATTCTTTTACTGTTGCTATTCCTCTTTATTACTGTTAGGCATTTATATATGAATCGTATTAGATGTTACACATACATATTAGGTAGTGTTCGTAATCTGATCTGTGAACTCAGATTAATCGGATGCAGTTCGAATGTTCGATTACGAAGTACTGAGTCAGACAGACTCTCAAATGTAATAAACCAGTTAGTGTTATGTTTTAACATGTAGTGTGACTCATAACCTCTTCTCATGGGTTCTAAGAGGATTATAGGGCCTAAACAGTACATCTCCATTTCTTCCTGTTCTCTGCAGTCTTTTGTTGACTCGACGATTGCTCATAAAGTCTCATTGCCTCTTCACACGATCTCCTCCCTGTCACTCCAGATGAAAAGCCACTCGACTCAGGCTTCCACTCTAGGGCCTGGTGCACGATGTCACTGAATGGTCTCCTCACCGTGTGTGTGTTGAGAAATTGATTCTTGATTGTTTTTTGTTGTTGCTAGAGTTCCATGTGGCTAATTCTTTGTAGTCACTGATATATAGTATGGAGGGAAGTGTGCAACTCGTCTGAGCTGCTCATCGTGATCTGTGCATCCAAATCTTTGAATTATATTAAGAAGCACTAACTGGCTAACTGGATATTAGTGTGGAAAATCCGAATCTCTCTACTTTCTGTCTGTCTGTTTTCAACATAGAACTTCGCAAGGATGTGTAGGAAGCAGTTCAAGTCGCCACACTCCACTCCTTGTAGCACACAAACCAACAGAAGTAAAAAGAAATGCATAATAGAGACAGCAAACAGAGTGGTGTGAGACAAAAGAATAGCGATAACGAAGAACAGTATAGTTTCACTGGAAATTATAAGTCACAAGGAGTGGATGCATCTGCGCCAGCCATCAATGAGAACGATGAGTTTGAGCCATATCACCAATTGTTTCCAGCCTTTATTGGTTTTTACGGTCCTGAGGACTCCAACCGGAAAGTCTACACCTTCCTACGTGGCTAGCTGGCTTAAACTAACTGTTGTGGATTTCATTGACTGATGAGGCCATGTTTTGGTTTGACCACCGCTAGTTATTTTCCAGCCTGGCCCTATGTCAGCTAACATTGCCCATCTGTCGAGGAAGGCGATGACTAGGCAGTCATTCGTAACACATGTCCTAACCATTTCAGTCGATGTAGCTTCACAGTCTCATCGATTAATTTCCCCTCCTTACCTAGAACTCGACCAAGGTATAAGCTCAATATTGCTCACCTTATTACACCTGCCACTTCACACAGGAGATAGAACGCAGACACCTATCATCAAAGACAGCTAATCTTCTCATGTCTTCCACTCGTAATGGTCATGTCTCACAGTGATAAAGGAGGACGGTGCGGATTGCTGAGCAGTACACCCGCCCTTTGGTCGATAGCCAACCGGATATCACGTCTATTAAGCCAGAGATAGCGTAAACTGACATATGCAAAACTAGTCCTCTGTATCCGTTACTTCTTTATGGTAGATAAGTACTGTTTTCGGAATAAAGTATATTATTATTATTATTAGATTTTCACTCTGATTTCAGTTTAATTAAGTCTGTCGGTCTTGCTTTTTTTTTCTTCGTCAATTGTGACTGACTTTAATAACCTCATCCATGCTGTTATCGCCTATAGCTGAAACGATGCCTGTCTAGATAAGTAAAAGAATAGTCTTTCTTTTGTTAATAGTGATGAGTACTTGTTGATGCTGTTGTTGGTCACCGGGTATCTTCATCAACCCCCGCCCCCGCCCCCCGGTATCCACCTGTCTTCTCTAGTATTCACTTAAAGTTCAGTCTTTTTTTATCTTCTACCAACTGGTGGTTAGCTTTTTATCTGCACTGATATTGAGTTTAATTTAAACATGAACGCATTTGATTATACTAAGTGTTGCTTCTGACATTTATATTAGACATTCACATTTATGCCTTTTATTTGTTATTTGAAGTTGTCTAATCATGCCTATTGAAGAGGAGGATACAACGACGACGACGACGACAACAACAACAAATGAAGATGGACCAAAATACAAAATATCCAGTTTTCTTTTTGGTAATGTGAATAAGGAAGGTCAAATTGAAGAATATCAACATGATGATGAATTAAAATCAATTAATAATTTGGATAGATGTCATGTAAGAGAAGTGGAAGAGACGGCTACACATGTACTTTCTGACAATAATAACAATAATCCTATACCATCTGTACAATCAGATGATGGGAGTAATCAATTGTTGGCAACTTCTAATTCAATGGATTATTATAATGAACAAGAAGTAATCGCGGAAGAACTTGTAGAAAATGTTTTGCACACTATGAAACCTGAGAAGATTAAAGAGGTATTTTTCTTATATATATATTTTACACAACTTTATTCCTGTTTAATTATTGTGAACATTCTATGTGTGTGTATGTGTATGTGTCAGTAATAGAAATATTGATTCCTGATAACGCTAAATGTGCGTTATTGGCACAGCAGTTAGGATGATCGCCAACCATGCCTCAAGTGGTCCGGGGTTCGATCCCCGGCCAACCGACGCACTTCTATACCTCGCTAAGCCAGTAATAAAAAAAAAGCTGGTAAAGGGGAAAGGTTGGACATGAGGTTGGCTAACAACCCCATCCTGTAAAAATAACCACCACTGCTACAGAAACTTCAAGCCTCTAGCTTGAAGGCGCTCTATTGTTCCACTGGGAATGTGAAGGAATAAAAAGATGACCCTAAATCTGAATAATCTACGACCTTTATTGTCTTGTTAGTTCTTTGAATTGATTAGTTGGGTGTACTATCTACACAGAAAGTTTTTGTGTTTTTGTAAAATACGGAGAGATATCCTTTTATGTTGTCGACTCGAAAGCTGATTTTATTACACTTGAGTCTTTCCTGGTCATTAAATGCCTAATTAAAAAAATAGAGAACAAAATCATTCTTGTGGAAGAAATTTGAAGGAAGCAACCTCTCTTTTACCTACCTACCTGGGAAGCATCGTTTCAACTACAGGTGGACGGAACTGATGAGGATATCAAAGCAGCAAGGATAATCGGGAAAGCAAGGTAAGCTTTCATTTCCCTCAAGTTTTTGTGTGGTGGTCAGCAGCATTCATCGTGAAAAATAAGATGCGGACTTTCAACTCCAATATAAAGTCAGTGGTACTCACTATACGGATGAGGGACTGGGTGCCACGCCGCGTCACTAAGGGCACTTCAAGAAAACTACAGACCTTCATCAATGGCTGTCTTCGCTCAATACTACTCAAGATCAGATGGCCGGCGAGAAAAGATCAGAAATAGTGAGGGATCTCTGCCAATGAGCGAACCAACCTAGCAGGAACCAATTGTGCAACAAATATGCAGGAAGAAATGTAGGTAGGTGGATTGGCTGTGCTCTGAGAAAATCAGTCATCAAGCGAGTGACATCACACCCCAGACCATCGCTAGAGTGGAACCGGAAAGGGAAGCGGCGACTTAGCTGGTCGTCAGTACGAGGGCGGGGTGACATGGAGGAGGCAAGGTGAAGAGGAGACGAGAGGATGTGGAAAGATGTGGAGCCAGGTGAAAATGTTGGCAGAGAACCGAACGCATTGGAAACGTGTGGCTAAAGCTCTATATTTCTGTAAGAACTAAAGGAAACAATTGTAATAATCATTCGTATAAATGATACAGGTTTGGAATAAGATTTAAAATATTTTATTCATTAAGAAATTCGTGAGTTGTATTCAGTAGTCATATCATCCAGATTTAGTGAAATTTAATAGTATAATGGATACATTTAAGTTCATGCTTTTACTGTTGTCATTTAAATTCTTAGACTTCATAACCACAGGTGTTTTAAAAATATTCCTCTATGTTCCCAGTGGAACATACATACGACTTCAAGCTACAGCTGTGAAGATTCGGTAGCAGTGGTATTTAATTTTACAGGATGGCTTTGCCAGCCTCATGCCCAACCTTACCTCTCTACTAGTCTCATTACCGGCTTATCGAGGTAAATCACTGCGTTGGTGGCCCGGGATCGAACCCTGAACCACCTGCATAGTTGGTGAGCATTCTACCGCTGTGCCTCACACACACACACACACGCACAACCACAGGTGTACAAAGTCTATACACTGACTACCTCTGAAGCTATGCTATGTCATGCTAAAAACTGCAATCTACTAACTGGAAATTAAACACCCAAGTGAAACAGCCATATAGGACTTCATTTAGGTTAAAGAGTTGAATATGATGAAGCAAGATGAAAGAAATTTAATATCTGTTCTACCAAATCTATTGAGAGAACCACCAAAAAGTAGTGGACAACTGTTCCTTCGTGTTTTGGACTCTTCAACAGTATGCACCATTGACCTACCTCACTAGGAATCGGACTCAGTAGCTTCAGGTTAGAAGACGAGCTTGTACACTATTCACAGTGTCACAGTTGATCACTTCTAAATTCTGGCCACCAACCAATGTCATCAGCGAGTATTCGTCCTCACACCCAACTTGGTGGACTCCGCTGGTCACAACCACCCACTGGAAGTTCAGGCAACTACTTCTTACAGTCAGTCAGTTGTTTTGACTCATCGTGGTGTCAAGAGTGCTTGCCGTTGAAGAGTCCCGAAAAAGGACGAAACAGCTGTCCGATGCTACCTGGTTTTCAGTGATTTTCTAATCCAAATCCTTGCTAACTAACACCTGAAAGCTTATTATTACTATTATTATTATTTTGTAAATATTTTTATATTGATTCAACCCCTGTGAGAGACCTAATTAAATCACTTTCTTTCTGTCTACAGGATGATTACGATTCATATGATGATACAGAACTTGGAGCTAGTCAAACACAAAAAGGTGAGTCTGATCCAACGTCACTACCAACTGAAGAGAGACAAATTTCACCTGAAGAGAATACAACCGTTCAATTATCTTCTACTGAACCTTCATCACCCAACCACCAGATCGATTTGATAGAGGCTAATCATGAACAAACAACTGGAGAAGAAATACTGGAGTCGTCATCACCAACTCTGTTATCATCATTGCCTACTGAAATGATCTCTCCATACAAATTAATGAGTTATGCTGACATTAGCGTTTCAGAGGATGCAACACTTATCATGCCACCTCCACTGCATCCTGCACCTCTTTCAGTCTCACGGGCGAATCAAGTTAAGGTAATTGATTAGAATTATTATCTCCCCGCCCCCACCCCGCCCCCACCCAGCCCCCTCATCTCCTTTTCTTGGTAAAACACTAAAAGGTAAACAGATTAGTCTTAATCAATACTCAGACTATCTGAAAATGCCTTTAGTGATGAATGATTAGAGTGAAAAATATGCTCCGGTGGCCTCTGAATTATACTAGTCTGGTGATATCTACCAACTGGTCAACTATGCTATCCAACTGGGCTGACTACGTCATCAGTTTGCTCAAATCACCATTGGTAATGTCTAGTAGTTGTGTGGATGAATAATACATATATAAATGTCCGTTTGTCTTAGTCTTAATTCTGTTTTGAGCGTACCCTTTTTTTTACTTGTGACAATATCTTCTTTCAAGTATTGGTTTTGTAGGGATTTTATATGATTGATTGGTTGGAGGATTTCATCATGAGCTGACATCAGTTAGAGAACCACTGGAATTTCAATCTAGGACGGAGGAAATAGCTGTCCAGTACTCCCAGCTGGTTTTCCAGTGGTTCTCTAATTGATGTAAGCTCATGATGAAATCCTCCATGTGTAAAGTCAGGCAATATTGGGGACATAAACATTGACGTAAATTGCTGTCCACCAATTTTGACTAACAGCCACCTCTCACCACACTCGTCCCCCCGTCAAAGACTTGTGACTGAAGTTGGTTCGGTCTTCTTGGCTCTAGGGGCTTTGCTCGTTTGTGTTGCTGTCTGGAATCTTAGCACTCGCTGATGTTCACCATTGCGATTGTGTCTGCGTAACCCTATCTTAAAGTGACTATAAATGGTCCTTCCCACTTTGGAAACTGTTTACCTGACACTGTCGCACATTCGTCAGTATTTCGCCTTACACTTTCATATACTACTTTCTCTCGACCTCCCAGCAGCGTCCCAAGTAGCAGCTTCATCACTGACAGATCATGAACGCCACTTAACTGCGCAGAAGCCTCGAAGATCCATATGTCTCCATCAAAAACTGCAGGGCATAGGCTTTCCATTTGTCGGTAGGCAGCAACACCAAATGTAACGACAGAAGGCAAGAGTCAGGCAGCATATCGTTTATTAAGGAAATCAACACATTTATAGATTTTCATGTACATATTATAAATTATTGTTAGCAGAAAAACACAGTCTTCTGATTGGTTGTTTTATCTCTGAACGTTAATCTGTCATCTCTTTGTGACTGTTTCTTGAATGTCAGATCATCTATATGTTAACTGTATCCGCCTACGCAAAGCCTTTGTTCTCATTTTTCTCACGACTAATATTGGGGACATAAACACTGACGTAAATTACTGTCCACCAATTTTGACTAACAGTCAGCTGTCACCACACATGCAATATATTCTTTGTTTCATCTTTAAACACCTTAATTCACACTCGATAATGATCATCATATTATTATTTAGTATACAATAACTAGCAGTGGAATCCAATAGATGCTCATTTCGTCCTATTTGTGACTCATCAGCGAGTTGATGTACCTGCATTCCTTACGAATGATGTTGTTCCCATTGTGACTCGAACCTGAGACGCATCATTTCAAACGCCAAGTTAAAGCGTTATCCAATAGGTCACGAGGCCCATCTCTTGTGTACTGGGTGTCAATTATTACTTTTTGTTTACCCTAATTATTACCTGTTGCACAAGTGGTACTGCATATTGACCTTTATTCAACTCGATTACCCATTACAGCTTTATGTGTGTAATAAGCTATGGATTACAGTTAATCTATGATAGCTTAGAAGAATTACTGTCTTAAACAGTTCGAATTAGGTAGATAAAGTAGAAAGAGTGCCAAATTGAAATCTGTCGTATAAAGGATGAGTTTTCCCATTTCTCGGCCGTATATACCGAGCGACGTCATCTTAAAGGTAGTTGTCTAGAACTTACGTTAATTCATACTGTAGTATTCATACTGCGAACTGATTGATGAGATTTCTAACCGCCACCTTTGGGGCCATCGTGACGTCAGCCCTGCTGTCTAAGTTCGAGTTTACAATGCTTTGGTGAGCTTGGTCTAACTCTACGCCTGTGAAACTTGGCCTCTCCGAGCTGAGGATGTGGCAACTGGAACTGCTGCACCTCGGTGCCAAGTTCTATGTTGAATCCAGAGGATGTGCGACAACTCTGCTTATTCAATTATCGCTGTCTCTGTAGAATTTCTTGCTTTCGACGGCACCATCGTGTGTCAGTAATTCTGAGGCCTGCAAGTGTGTGTGCTTGGAGACTATGCGGATCACCATTCATTGAATGCCATCTGGAAACGCCGGTTTCGGTAGCTTAGAGATATGCTGCGAATGTCATCCCAGAGGCTTCTGTACCCGGTCTGTGTTCGTTAGCCCTGAGACTAGATAGATAAAGCAGAGAGAGAGGTGGTCAGTCTATGTCGTAGTATCCTGGGATAAAGGACATTTGTGCTAGCTGGGCATCAGTTGGTACATCAGAAGTTCTTGGGTGGGGTTGAAACGTTATCAGATATGACCAAGATTTGCAAACAATGGCAGTTCCCTTGTTTCTTCTCTTTCTGAGAGCAATAGGATGAATGTTGCTTGATTTTGTCAAATATCCTGACTTCTTTTTGGGATAACGTCTTCTATTTATTCTCTCCCTAATATATATATATATATATATATTCTGTGTGGCGCATCTTCTTAGTGCCTACATTATACCGATTTTGTGTTTTAGATCAATAAAATAAAAGCTGCAAGAAATTAAGACTAATCTGATACCAGGTGACTCTTTCATTTGCCGGTTAGTTTCATATCCACTTCTGAATTGTATCATTATATAATTGGGACTTATATTTGGCTGACACTGGATAGCACTAGAATCTAGGCTGTTTGACATTTTTCTCAACAGGCATTCTCAAAGAGACTGCAACCCCAGCACCCATCGTTTCAAACTCCAGGAACACGTGGCTGATGAATCCCAAATAGGACTGAATGCTCATGCCTAATTCTACTGCTAGCCAATCAACCATCCAACCAAACTATCATCGTGTTTATCTTCAGACATCGTCGACGCCTCCATACTAGGAGGTGACATTTCAACACAGACCGGAGACATAAAATTAATCACACGTGCAGGGTGCAGTGTTCGACTCCCGACCGATGCAGTTCTAAACCTTGCTGGGCTGGCAGTAGTAAGGCTGGCAAAAAGAGGGAAGAGCTACTTCATCTTTTCATTTGAGGAATTACATTAGGTCGTGTTTTATTAAAATTATTGCTTTATGTTGCCAGCGGAACATACGGCTTCAAACTAGAGGCCTGAAGTTTCTGAAGCAGTGGTGCCTACTTTTACGGGATGAGGTTGCTAGCCTCATCCCCAACCTTCCCTCTTTATCCGTCTTATTACTTACTGGCTTAGCGAGGTAAAGGAGTGCGTTGGTGGCCGAGAATTGAACCCCGGACCACATGAGGCGTGGTTGGCGAGCATTATACCACTGCATTTTTGGATTTGACACTAGTAACTAGTGTGATGTGTCTAGTCCTCTCTTTGGTGCAGACTGAATTCTATCAGTCAGGTTTGCAATGTGGCCACCATGCCACTCGGTGGCTTGCCATCACGGTACACATTGATTTGATGATATTAGATGGTTGGAGGCAGTCGGCCATAGGAAGCCTTGCTTAACCTAGGTTTCGTGCTAGTTGTCACTCACCAGTCAGCAAGGCGTATCTGCAACCTTGAAGGAACTCATGTCTCTTCTGAGATTCGAACCGCGTCCCCCAGTGCCGCAGTCAGAGATGTTAGCACAATCGCCAATCTTCAAGGTTGTAGATATGCCTTGCTGACTGGTGTCTGTCTCTTTTCGACATAGAACTTTGTACAAATGTGCGGAAGTTCAAGTCGCCACACTCCGTGTAGCACGCGAAGCAAGAGAAGAAAGTACAAGAAAAGCATAATAGAAACAGTGAGCAGAGGTGTGAGACAAAGGAGGAGTAATAACGAAGAACAAAACAGTTTAATTGGTGGAGATCATAAGTCACAAGGAGTGGATGCATCTGCGCCACTGAGAACGATTTTGAGCCATGTCAACAATTGTTTCTAACCATAGATTTTTACCGTCCCGAGGACCCCAGCCTGGAAGTCTACAACTTCCTACGTGGCTTAGACCAACTGTTGTGGATTTCATTGACTGGTGCCAAGTTTTTGTTTGACCGCCTCTAGCTTTTTTCCAGCCTGACCCTATATCCGCTAACATCGTGTGACAAATATGAACTGCTGCTCACTAGCATTTAAATTTCTTTAAGTCTCCTTTTTTTTAACTTGTTCGGCATCATTTCACTTGGTAAATCATCTTTGAATTGCAATCAAATTTAGAGGAAGTCTTCTTGTTTACAGACATAGAATACTTCTTTTTTTGAATTTACTATTATTATTCAAACTTATTTGTTATGTTTATCAATAAAATCCAAAGTTCTAGAATAAAATAGAATAACCTATTTTTTTATTTTTTCAGCCTGTTTATTCACGAAATCTTGATTCGCCGATCTGTAGTCCTATTCCTGTTACCTATCCACATTCAGAATGCACACGAAGTCCAAGTTATTCGCCATCTTCTATACAAAATCATGACAATAATCATGATAATGGCTTGAATACACCTTTGGGTAGTCTTATGCCAGTCGAGTATGCAAATGTTGACATTAAAGAACTATTTCCTTCATATGATCCAGGAAAAATACCATTATGGGGACGGTTATTTCGATTGCCACATCCATTGGGCATCTATCATGAATACATTGAACGTTATGAGTATATGGAAGAGATGCTATCACACAGATTGTCAAGAAGTGATCGGTAGGTTGTCTTGTTGTCTTTTTTCTTTTGCTTGTTTTACGAATAAGATGTAGACGACTGTGGTAAAGTATAATTCTGCCATAGTACATAGTGATACAGAATCATCATCATAGGTATAATAATAGACTCAACCCTAACTCACTTCAGAGACACAGGCATTGACTTGCTACCAGGGAATAATCCCGTTGACTTAGAATATGCAGACGATATGGTACTTCTAGGCTAGGACGCTGACCAAATCCAGCAGAGTCTTCTGAATACCCTGAGCTGCAATCTGCGAATGTTTGGCTTGTGATTCGCTCCCGCCAAATGTAAGATGATGTTACAGGACTGGACTACACTGACTAACTCCTAGTTTAAAAATAGGGAGTGAAGTGGTTGGTGGAGCGTATTGACCACTTCACTTATTTTGGAAGTACCATCAGCCAGTGCCAACGGGTTGATCCCTGACGAAATCTCACCACGGATATAGAGGGCTAGTTTCGGATATGCCAGTTTACGCCATCTCTGGCTTAGTAGACGTGATATCCGGCTGGCTATCGAACAAAGGGCGGGTGTACTGCTTAGCAGTCCTCTCCGTCCTGCTTTAAGGCTGTGAGCGAGAACTGGCCATTGAGAGTGGAAGATATGAAAAGCCTGGCTAGCTGTCTTCGATCATAGGTGCCTACGTTCTATCTCCTGTGTGAAGCGGTAGGTGTAATAGGGTGAGCAATATTCAGGTTATGCCTCGGTCAAGTGCTAGGTAAGGAGGGGAAATCAATCGACGAGGCTGTGGAATTACATCGACTGAGATGGTTAGGACATGTGTTACGCATGACTGCCTAGTCATCGCCTTCCTCGATAAACGGGAAATGTTAGCTGACGTAGGGTCAGGCTCAAAAAGAGCTATCACTTGGTGGTCATACCAAAACATGACCTCACCAGTCAATGAAATCCACAACAGTTAGTTTAAGCCAGCCAGCTAGTCACATAGGAAGGTGTAGACTTCTTGATTGGCTAGTTGGGGTCCTCGGGACGCTAAAAACTAGTGAAGGCTGGAGACAATTGGTGATATGGCTCAAACTCATCGTTCTCATTGATGGCTGGCGCAGATGCATCCACTCCTTGTGACTTGTAATTTCCAATGAAACTATATTGTTCTTCGTTATTACTTTTCCTTTTGTCTCATATCCCTGTCTACTGTCTCTATTATGCATTTCTTCTACTTTCTTCTGTTGCCTTATGTGCTACAATAAGGAGTGGAGTGTGTCGACTTGAACTGGTGCACATCGGTGGAAAGTTCTATGTCGAAAACATACAGACAGATACAGAATCACTCGTTTACTGATAAAATTTTGAGTACACAACTTATTATTTGCTCACAATCATGGCAAGATGCTCACATTATTTTCAAACTTTCTTTATATAATACCATTGTTTATTATCCTTTAATTTTATTGGCAGTGGTGTTCTGCATATCTGTCGTATTGGTGTGTGTGTGTGTGTGTTTGTTGCGTCATTCTTATTGGAAGTGTTATGGGTATAGGTTTGATGGATAAAGATTCAGTAATCAACCTCTGTCTCTCTCTCTCTCCACCTATCTTTATTACTCTTTAGAAATGTAGCTCTGTCCCACCCACTCTGTTGTGTGTGGTTGTGTGTTAACGTATGAAGTGCAATTGTTGAGTTTTATTTTCTTCCTAAATTTCTTGTCTTCGCTGGTGAGGTCAATCATTCTAACTTTAGGAAAATACTTGTGTTCTGACGGTCTGACTACCCCCGCCCCCACCCGCCCCGCCCCGCCCCGGATCTAATAGTTTGACCTATGTAGTTGACTTAAATCACAGTCATTGAGAGGTATTTTTGTAAATTATATTATTTTGTCTAATTGGGTCAACTGGGTCCTTTAACCTACCACCACTCTAATTCCTGCTTTATTAAGAATCCTACGTGTAGGGTCTCAGATATCCCTTCCTTATATAGTAGAACTGTAGAGATGCCTTATATTCTCTCTTATTTATGTTATCATTATTAGTTTCATAATTATTGTTTTATTTTGCTTTTGACCTTTACTGATCTTCCTAATCAATTTTATAGGATAGTCAGTTATTCGACACTAACGCTTCTTTCTTCGTTTCATTTCATCGTTTAGGTTTTTTGTTGTAGTGCTTAGAGCTATTGCCTGGTTTATTAGATGCACACTTAACTAAGCCTACCTTCACAGATGGATAAGGCATGAGGTGATGAAGTAAAGTCTAAATATCTATTAGGAGAATACATTGGTTTTTTATAAACGCTAGTGTGTAGTTTGCCTTCTTCTATTCGTTTTATTTTACAATCTAACATGATAGCTAATTCTCCTTGTTCACTTACTGATTATTCAAGTGGGAATTTTATTCCCTTTACTAGTGAGTTTATATGTTTCAAGATGCTAGAGCGAGAGATATGTTCTGTTTTTAACGCTGTGTGAAAGTGTCGTCCACATATCTCAACCATATTTTTGGCGTAGGATTAAATGTACTACTAGCTATCCATCCACATAAAGATATCTGCTACGATAGGGGGCGGGGTGGATATTTGTGATCCATTACATTGCTACACCTTCTGTTTGTCTATGTATATTTTACCCTAGAATTTAATGGCAGTAGATGTGAGGCATAGCTGAATTCCTGTGAGTAAGTTCAGGATCTGCGTTTAGTTCTATCTGAATTGCTTCTAAGGCCTCAATCTTGACTGGTATATTAGTATAAAAACTAGTTATATCAAGGCTAACCACTTCTTCTTTTCATTATTTCCTATCTGAATATCATTCAACTTTTTCACTTCATATAAAATTTGTTAGCCTTAGAGTTTGAACAATTTCTGAAGGGACATAATAATATTAATGTTAAGTGTTTAGATAAATTCATAAGTAGGGGAGTATTTCTAAAATCAATTATTGGTTGTATAGAATAACTTGTTTCAGGTAGCTTGGTAGTGCTGTATTATACTCTACTGGCATTATTATTATTATTATTTAGACATTCACATAAACCATTTTGATTCACCCAAAGATATAACTTCATTGGACTTCTTAATCTGATTCACTGTCCGTCTGTCTGTCTGTTTTCGACATAGAACTTTGCACATATGTGCGACAGTTCAAGTCGCCAAACTCCACTCTATGTAGCCCACAAAGCAACAGAGGAAAGTAAAAGAAATGCATAATAGAGACAGTAAACAGAGGTGTGAGACAAAGGAATAGTAATAACGAAGAACAATATAGTTTCATTGGAAATTATAAGTCACAAGGAGTGGATGCATCTGCGCCAGCCATCAATGAGAACGATGAGTTTGAGCCATATCACCAATTGGTTTTCACCATCCCGAGGACCCCAACCAATCAGAAAGTCTACATTTCCCTACGTGGCTGACTGGCTTAAATTAACTGTTATGCATTTCATTGACTGATGAAGCCATGTTTTGGTTTGACCATCGCCAGCTCTTCTCCAGCCAGACCTTATGTCGGCAACCTTGTCGTGGTGGTTGGGCTTGCACATCGCGACGATCCAACAAGCTGGACTGGCTGGAACCAATGTTCCTGCAGGTTCTTCCATGCCAGGAAGGTTTTTAGGATAGCGATTAGACTAAAAGCAGTTACCGGCATTGTGTAAGAATCTTTCTTACACTATACTGGGAGTCTGAGAGCGAAGTCGTACTGCTGGGGAACAGGGGTGTAACAGCTACGAGGTGTTTCCCTAAGATGAGAAGCATGCCAGCCAGCTATGCTGTCGCTGCACTCCGGAGAGATGGGGTTAGAAAAGGTCGACTCCCAAAATTGTACATCCCGACTTACCCTACGGTGGTCGGTAACCGGCGGTAAGTTTACTAATACGAAAACAAACCAACAAACCAGTTCATACAGGCCGTGTGTTATCGCCGTCGAGCAATTGTCTCCTGGGCTCTGCGGTCACGCAACACTAACCCTCTTTCTGTTTCAGGTACCCGTAGAATCAATCAACTTCCATGGTGTGGGCAGCCGGGAAGTAACGACCGCCCACACACTTCCCATTGCACACGAAGCTCGCCAACCACGCCTCTTGTGGTCCGGGGTTCGATCCCCGACCACCGACACATTCCTTTACCTCGCTAAGCCAGTAATAAGACTGGTAAAGGGGGAGGGTTGGGCATGAGGCTAGAAACCCCATCCCGTGAAAGTAGGCACCACTGATACAGAAACTTCAGGCCTCTAGTTTGAAGTCCCATGTTACACTGGGAACGTAATGGAATAAGACAACAAGCAAAAACAAGACTGCTTCTGTAGAATTTTTTGAACGTTTCCACTAGGATTTCATAGTCTTTGTGTCCACTGACCATACTATTTGCATTTCATGACTTTATTTCACGTATTGTTAAGTTTAGTAAGAATTCTATGGTATTCTCTTAGACATATAATCCGTTGACATGTTCAACTGTTGATGTTATTATTCTAATTGTAATTGGATTACGCCTATAAGGCGTAGGTATTCAGGAATTATAGGAATTATTTCATCATCTGTGGTGTATACGGTTTGACTCAATTCAGAGCTCACCTACTTAACTAGCTTGCTAGTTTTCTAGCCGGTCGCAAACCTGGGTAAAGAGGGAGTGTTGGGCGTGGGGCTTAGCAATCTCACACCACTAAATCTTTCAAACCGCTAGAGAAACTTTAACACACAGAAAATATATCACAAATACAAAAATACGAAAATACAACAATCTTATTCTTCGCTCGAATCCGAGAGGCGAAATAACACAGCGGGCTGGTGAAAGCCTTCGGGAAGCCAGTCAGCTGACATGTCTCCTCCTCTCGATGAAAGCAAGAATAAGAATGGGGACGTGGAATGTCCGTACAATGTACGAGGCTGGCTGGAAAGGCTGCCTAGATAGCCAAAGAGGTGTGAAGATATGGCTTAGAAGTACTGGGTATCTGTGAAAGCAGATGAAATGGCCTTACCTCAAGTCTTTGTCAACCTCATTCAACAGCTCTAGATGACAATGCCACGCGTCAAGTGATCCACAACTAAGTGCACACAGGAATAAGACAAACTGGCTGTCTGTCTGTCTGTTATCACCTATGATGATATTCCTAATTGTGCTGAACTGGATTATGCGTCAGACTGTTAGGGGTGAGAAGTCAGGAATACGCTAGACGACCGATAAGACGACTCTAGAATATCTGGATTTCGCAGCTGATATATGAGTAATGTCACACAAACTCAAAGACTTGCAAGCGAAAACCAACAAACTGGCTGAAGAGGTAGGTAGCAAAAACAGGACTACAGGTGAACACAGAGAAGACGGAGGTGATGAAGATAACCAATCAACAGCAACAACAACAACCAGCACCAATCACCTTCGACGAAGAAGATTTAACAGGGACTGCTTCCTTCACTTATCTAGGAATTATCGTTTCAAACACAGGCCGGCGGAACGGATGATGATGTCAAAGCCCCAGTGAGAACCAAATAGACAAGATACGCCTTCATCAACTTGAAACCAGTTTGGAAATCTTCTGCACTGCACTCAGCATAAGGAACAAGATTCAGATATTCAACACCAATGTCAAGTTGGTCAGTGCCTCCATATATATGTATATGGGTCAAAAACTTGCACTGTCTGTCACGAAACAGATTTCCAACAGGCTAATGTTGACTTTAATCAACAGCTGCCCCTTTCGCTGGTTGGCTCCATACTGTGAAGATCAAATGACCGGCTGGTCAGAAAGAATAAGCAACAAGAAACTCTGCTCAGGGGACAAACCAACAGGCAAGAGCCGATCGCTCAACAACTATGCAGAGAGAAAGTGGAGATGGATCGAACACACGCCTTTGATCAGGTCGCCGAATGACATTGTACGCCAGGCCATTGCTCGAGTGGAATCCAAAAATGGGAAGCGACGAGTGGATCGTCGGTATGACGGTGACAATGGAGGAGATCGTGAGGTGAGGAAAAGATGAGAGAGAGAGTCTGATTAATCGTGGACCCAGCTAAAGAGAGGGTGGCAGATGAGAGAACCAAGTGGAGATGTGTTGTTGAAGCCAGCTCTATGTTCCACTCGGAACGCAAGGGAATAATAACAATAATATAATAATACAGAGCTAAAATTCTCGATATTCAATTATTTATTTATTTTTTTATTTTTGATTACAGCTTGATTCCACACACTGTATTTTTGGTACAAGTATGGAATTTTGTGCGTCGGTGGTATAGCGGTTAGTACGCTCGCCGACCATGCATATGGTCCGGGGTTCGATCCCCGGCCGGCGCACTCCTTTACCTCACTGAGCCAGAAATAATGCTAGTAAAGAGGAAAGGTTGGGCATGAGGCTAGCAACCCCATCCTGTAAAAATTAAACACTGCTACAGAAACTTCAAGCCACTAGCTTGGAGCCCTATGTTCCACTAGGAACGTGAAGGGAAAATTATTTTATTATTATTAATTATTTATGGAATTTTCAGCATGTGATGATATCGGTAGCCCAAATTTTGCAGGCCGACCATAGATATCAGGTGTGCGTTGTCGGCAGGGATCGAACCTCGGACCATGTGCATGGTCGGCGAGAGTCCTAACCAGCTGTGCCACCGACGCACATTGATTCAATCTTGCCAGTTCAAATAGATAACTTGCTTTGTATTTCCTTTCTTTCTTCCCCATCTTTGCCCTCTATGCCTCTCTCTCTCTCTCACCCCAACCTCTTTCTTTCTTTTATCATTCTCCCCCCCGTCGCTTTTTGCAGTCAACATCTTATATATGATGGAATTTTAGATCTTGGAGAAATTCCCTTACCAGAAGATATTATATCTAGTGATGAAGTTGTGGAGTTGAACACACCACCAACACCAGGATTAGATTATTTAGCTGGCAGTGAAACATCATGGTGGCGTAGAGCATTTAAAGCTGCTCTTGAGGAATTAATGAATCCTAAGAATGAAAAGACTGAACAAGATGACAATTATAATAATAAGAATAAAAAAGAAATTCAAGAACAACACCGACACCGACAACACCACCAACAGTTATACTTAGATGACAGTTATAATAAAAATCATGAAATCAGCGATTCAGATTACAATGTGGCAGACAGGTGAGTATCATTCTGTTATCATTACTTTTGTAATTGTTCACAGTTCTCCTATTTAGTGAGATTATTGTTATTGCTTTTTTGCGTTTGAAACGATGACTGGTGGTAGCTTGAAGTCTCAGTGGGGAACACTCTGTGTGTGTGTGTGTGTGTGTGTGTGTCAGCCACATCCAACGAAGTTGGTATTGCTTACAGGTTTGCTCATGAATTGAAAATCAGTTAGAGAACCATTGAAAACCGACAAGGAGTACTGGATAGGTGTTTCTTTCTGGTCTTTGGGTCTCTTCATCAACATCCTCCACCCACTGGGGTTCAAACCCTCCTCCAGGATATTCGGGTCACAAGACGAGCTTGTAGACGACCATTTAGCCACTGGGATCCGATCCAATGAATGGCTGATGAAGTTTCTACTTTTGTCAATTCACGATATGTATTCCTGATTGCAGTAAATTGGATAATGCAACAGACAGCGGTGGTCAACGAGGAAACAGGCCTCAAATGGACCCACACAAAAAACTTGGAGGATCTGGACTTTGCTGATTACGATATATGTCTGATTTCCCACAAACTGGAAGATATGCAAGTGAAAAACAACAAGTTGGCAAAACAAGCATCCAGAGAAGATAGGATTTCAGGTAAACATAGAAAAAACAGAGGTGATGAAGATTCCTGGCCAACAGCAGCACCACCGACAACAGACAACAATCAGCATAAATGGGAGAAATTTCAAAGAAGCAACCTCCATCACCTAACTACCTACCTGGGGTGCATCGTTTCAAGTACAGATAGATGGAACTAATGAGGATATCGAAGTAGCGAGGATCAGGAAAGCAAGACAAGCTTTCATTACTCTCAAGTCTGTGTGGAGTTCAACAGCACTCAGCATGAAAATGAAAATAAGATCCGGATTTTCAACTCCAATATGAAGTCAGTCAGTGCTACTAAACTGATGAGAGACTTGGCGCGTCATAAAGAGCACCTCAAACAAACTATAGGCCTTCATTAACAGCTGTCTTCGGTCAATACTACTACCGAAGATCAGATGGCCAGCAAAGATCAGCAACATGGATCTCTGGGGATGAACCAACCAGGAACCGATTGTGAAACAAATAGGCAGGAAGAAATGGAGGTGGATTGTATTGGCCATACTCTGAGGAAACCAGCAAGTGACATCACTAGACAAGTCCTCGAGTGAAACCCGAACGGGAAGCGGCGAGTTCGTCGTCAATGCAAGGGTGACATGGAGGAGGTCATGTGAAGAGGAGATGAAAGCATGTGAGCAGACTTGGAGCCAGGTGAAAACTCTAGCAGAGAACCGAAAGCAATGGAGACGCGTAGCTGAAGCCCTACGTCCCTCTAGGAATTAAAGGAAATAATAATAATAATATATTTAGCGCAACCGCCAGCTATAGGCAAGTAACTGGTCTCTTCACCTGACTTGGTGGACCCTATCGGTTCCGGCTTCTCACTAGAACTCCAGATAACTTCCTGTATAGAGCCAGTGGCTAGTAGGGAGTATCAGATTAATTTTCAAGTGTCGGTTTGTAGTGATTTGATTGACTACAGGTTTGTGCACGAGTTGGCATCAATTACACAACCGTCGGGAAACCTGAGAGTACTGGATAGCCATGTAGTAATTCTTCAAGTCAACAAGCTCACACAAAACCCGAAGGCGATCACAGTTAGAATCAACTAAGGGCTAATTTAGGCGTTTATAGAGATGTAAGAATTTTGAACAATATATCTTCCTTTGAAATGTTTCGAGAATACCCCCTTCCCTCCAGGTCCCAATAGGGATGTTCGTATTCATTCAAGTGACTGTAAATTGATGAATCTCGTGTTGAACTCCACTGCTAGCCTCTTTCAGCTGAATAACCGGCGATTTCTTCATTTGTTAACATACTTGGTTAGAGTTAGTGAGGTGAATGTTGTTATTTCGATGTGATTTGGCTTGTATATGCTATCGACCCAACGAGTTACACTGGCTAAAACTAGTGTGTTACTGTAAATCCTACCATATTAGAAAAGTCATTTGGATAGCGATTGGACTAAAAGCAGTGTAAGCTGTTTAACGGTTGTTGCTCACAAAAGTGAAATGGCGAATACGAACGTGTGACACTTATAGCTAGACTGGTGTGGAAAACCCTGTTTCCGGACCTTTGAACCTGGGAATGTAGTTCCTAATGCTGCTTTACACTGCCTTGTGTGAATCAGACTTCAAGTGTGAAAGGTCCCCTGGGGAGAAGTTTAAAACAGACACTTGCCTTAGTCTAGTTGTTTGAGCAACATCTCAACCGTTGTACAAATCTTGAGAGACTATGTATGGTGTGATGCACCTCTTGGTTAGTGGTGCCTATAGTGTACCAAGTTTATATATATATATTTAACAGTAATAATGAGCTGTATTGATTTCTTAAATTTAGTTATATTGGTTGGCGATTAGGACCTGCAAAATATTGGTATGATCAATTAGGCCTACCATTGGATATCAATATCTCTGAATGGACAGAATGGAGACGACCGTTACCAAGTACACTGAACTGTAATAACAATAGTCATAACTCAAGTTCTATTCTTTCTGTTCCACCGTCATCATCATCATCACCACCACGTCCACCATCGCCATCTTCTTCCTCTTCATCATCATCACCATCGGTGACGATGACATCACCAACAGCAACTGCCGATGAGCCTGCTGACAGTGCAGATAATGATAAGAATAATTCTATCGATATGAATAAATCAGTTAGTGATTCAAATTGTCCAGCAATGAAAAAAGAGAATAATAACGATGATGATGATGATGATAATACCACACCTACAACGACAACAACTGCTGCTACTACTACTAGTCTGCCTAATAAAAATTTTTCAGTTCATGAATGTCACAAACAAGATCCAGATGATTGTCAACAGCGTTCAACAAATGAATCATTGGCTCTTTCCTCACCTCCAACACCACGTAAGTACTTATACTTCATGTTGGACACTTATTTTTATTCCTTTAGGTTCCCCAGTGGAACATAGGCCACCTTCAAGCTAGTGGCTTGAAGTTTCAGTAGCACGATGGTGTTTATTTTTGACGAAAATGGGGTTGCTAGCCCCTCCTTCTTTACCAGTCTTATTCCTGGCTTAGTGAGCGAGGTAAAGGAGTGCGTCCAGTGACCGGGGATTGAACCCCGGACTACATGCGTGGTCGGTGAGCATCATTCTACCGTTGCACCACCGACGTACACAGTAGGATTTGTAAAAACACCATAAAACTCTTCAAGGAAGTGGTGAGAATTATTTTCACTGGGTGAAAGAAGTCGATTATATATATAATTGTTAACTTGTTCCCTCTCGGTCCACTCCTAGCCGACTGTTTTATGGCGAGTCTTGAAAACAACATCCTTGATCCCTTGATAAGTAAACTGCACTTATACAAGAGATACGTTGATGATACGTTTATAATCTGTGATGAAAAATGTGATTTAGATTCTCTCCTCAAAACCGTCAATGCAGCTCATCCATCAATAAGATTCACCTTAGAACGCGAATCGAACAACTCACTTCCATTCCTCGATGTACTACTCACCAGAAGACACGACTGTACGATCCAAAGATCGATATACCGTAAGCCAACATGGACGGGACAGTTTATCAACTTCCAGAGCTTTATTCCACTGATCCGAAAGAGAAACTTGGTACGTACATTGTGCTCAAGGATTAGAAAAATCTGCTTGGAAGACAAGGTAAAGAAAGAATTAAATTTATTGCGTGAAACCCTCCTAGAGAATGGGTATCCACCAAGATTCATCGACAAAAACGTGAAGGAGAAGCCTCCGATGTCAAATATCACAATGGTTCCTAAGAAGACTCTCTTCGTGAACCTAGAATTCAAAGGTGACATTGCAGCAGAAATTTTCAGAAACCGCCTTTCAAAAAGTCTGAAGAAGACATTCCCAACAGCCACTCTACGTATAACATTCTCCTGCAGACAGTTAATCCAGTCTAACGTTAAGGACAAGATACCGATTTTGGCCACTTCAATGTGTATTTATCAATTTACTTGCTCTCGTGGAGCAAAGTATATCGGCCGTACGCAACGTCAATTCCACAAACGTGTCCTTGAACACTGCCCAGCTTGGTTAGCCAGAGAAGAAAAGAAGAATAGCAACAGCTCGATCCTCGAACACTTTGTCATCTCCAGACATCGAGCACCCCTACATGAATGCTTCACAGTGTTACACAGAGTCCCTCAATATCGTACAAAGGGACTTCGGATACCCCATCTGTACATTGCTGAAGCATTAGCTATTCGAGTTCTGAAACTGGACCTGTGCATACAAAAGCGATACATACATTCTCTTGCCCTACCGTGGCCAGAGTAAAGTTCTTACTACAATTTTGTTTCTTTCTTTTACTATGTAAGTTCACTACTATTATTATTACTATTATTTTATTATCATTATTATTCCCATCGTCCACATTTTATTACCACTCTATTACTGTTTATTAAGAACATTGCTTTTTCATATCGATTTTATACAAAAACACTCTATAGCCTTTCCACTAGTTCCTGTCCATTCTACACAAGCTGATTGATTAATCATTATCTCACACTTATTAGGTCATGCTAACTAATGTCTCCTTTCCAACTTACAATTAGTCATCCCTTCTTACACCTCACATTATGTAGTAGAATTTTCAAGGACAAAGTTTACCAGTATCTGATTGGTCAAAAAGATTTCTGTGTTAATTATAATTACGATCGTACAGCAGCTCATGAAAATGAATCGTCGAAAAAGGAAAATTTTCTTCGCTGTTTGTGCCTTTTTCTTATGACTTAATATGGGAATATTTCGTTCATTGAAAAACAAAATATGTTACAAACTGATATGTATCCACATGATCTCCAATGAAACTGTTTCGTTCTTCGTTATTACTCCTCCTTTGTCTCAAACCTCTGCTCACTGTCTCTGTTATGCTTTTCTTGTACTTTCTTCTCTTGCTTCGCGTGCTACTCGGAGTGTGGCGACTTGAACAGCCGCGCATTTGTGCAAAGTTCTATGTCGAAAACAGACAGACAGACAGATCCACATGATGTGTGTTTTGTTTTTGACAGTCTGTTATATTTTGGTATGTGCATATGGATCGATATTTCATTATAGCTGACAATATGCTTTTGTCTGTCCACTAACTAAATAAACATGTATGACCTTGTTGTCGCATGACATTACAACCAATCATGTTAAGACTGGCTATTTATTGGTTCATGTGTATTAGCCATTTTCATATATACTCTTGCTTTATATTCTCGTTCTCACGTTCGTACATTCGTACCATTTCACTCACACTCTTGTGTGACATTTATTTTCCTTGTCTGGAAAATTCAAGTATCATCGTAAACCTGGTGGTCTTCTGATTTCCCTCTTCCCGCGTCAGAACTATTAACTACTCGACGAGTACATAACACAAACAGAATATAGTAATTATATAGAGTTAATGACTAATCTCATATTACTACAGTTATGTTAAAGAAATCATGGTTCCTGATGAACTCCTACTCTAATAGGCAGAAAATATAAGTTAAGCAACCTTGGCACTAAACTTTAAGGAGGAGCATAGAAAACACTTTAGTGACAAACGTTTATCATGAGTGTACAATGCAGTGAAATAATTCAAAATAGATTGGGAACTGGAAACTGAAGACATCAAACGTTGACAGTACATCAAAGATACCATAAGTTGATAAAAATTCTAGAAAAAACTAAAATATACCCAGAGAATAAGGAGATGATGAAAATAACCAACCAACCTACCGACCAACAACAACAAGCATCAGTCACTACCAACGGAATAGGCTTGAAAGAGGTTACTTCCTCCACCTATCTAGGCTGTGTCTTTTCAACTACAGACAGTCAACACCGTTGAAGACGTCAAGACCAGAATTGGAAAGGCAAGGCACATATTCATCACTATGAAATTAGTTTGGAAATCTGCAGCATTCAGCATAAGCAACACTAATATCAAGCCAGTCAATTCTTTTATACGAGTTACAACCTTGGCGAACGTACAACAGAAAACACTTGCAACAGCCAGTTGCAAACTCTTATCAACAGTTACACCTTTGCTGGCTTTATACTGAAGATCAAATGCCTGACAGAAAGAATTAGCAACAAGTAACTCTGGGGACGAACCAACCAAGAACCTATTACTTAATAAATATGCAGAAGAAAGTCGAGATGATTCGGAGACACCGAAGAGACAGTTGAGTGACATCACGTGTGAAGCCGTCGAGCAGAACTAAAATGGGAGACAACGAAGGGTGACACTGAGGAGATCGCGTGAGATGACGACGTATGGGCAATTATGGAGCCAGCTGAAGAGGACTGGAAAGAACAGAACAAAATGGAGATGTTCTGTTGAAGGCTTATGTTCCACTGGGAACCCAAGGGAAAAATAATAATATACTAAAATCGTACAAGAGTCTATAAGTAAATGTTTCACAAGGAATGTACTGTACTTTTTTTATTCACATTCTTTCGCCTTCCTCCAACTTGTACACAATTATTGAATCATTTGCGCCTTCGATTTGCCCACCAATGATGACCAAGGCCAACGAACCAACGTTCAATGTTCACGTTCATTTACAAATAGGTTTAGTGAATCCTGCGATTTTCTTAATTCAACCTAATATACAAGTGATTGTTTGCAAGATGTTGATAGATTTCAAGTTTCAATGACTAAATGACACCAGTTGGTGAATCATGAAGTACCAGATAGCTTGAATATATTGCACTGATTAAGGCACTCTACTCGTACTCATGCTGTCAGCCAGGTGAGGGCTTACGGCGAGCTGTCATCTTAACTGATGACGACCAGTGGTGTCCGTCAAGAATGCCCATTATCTCCTTTTCTATTCAACTTCATCATAGATGTGTTAATGGACTTAACCCTAGGTGACTTCAGCGACTCAGGGATTGACTTGCTACCGGGGAATAATCTCGTTGACTTGGAATATGCAGACGATATAGTCCTTCTAGGCGAAGACGCTGACGAAATGCAGAGTCTTTTAAACACCTTGAGCCGCAATCTACGAATGTTTGGCATGCGATTCGCTCCGCCAAATGCAAGATGTTGTTACAGGACTGGACTACATCGACGCCTGGTTTGAAAATAGGAAGTGAAGTGGTAGAGCACGTTGACCGCTTCACTTATTTGGGAAGTACCATCAGCCAGTGCCAACGGGCTGATCTCTGACGAAATCTCAGCACGAATACAAGGAGCTCGTTTCGCATTTGTTAGTTTACGCCGACTCTGGCGTAGACGAGATGTTCGACTATCGACCAAAGGGCGGGTGTACTGCTCATCAGTCCGCTCCGTCCTCCTTTATGGTTGTGAGACCTGGCCACTGAGAGTGGAAGACATGAAAAGACTAGCTGTCTTTGATCATAGGTGCCTGCGTTCTATTTCCCGTGTAAAGTGGCATAATAAGGTGAGCAACATGGAGGTTAGGCGTAGAGTTCTAGGTAAACAGGGGAAATCAATCGACGAAGTCGTGAAGCTACATCGACTGAGATGGTTAGGACTTGTGTTACGTATGCCAAGCCATCGCCTCCCTCGACGAGCTATGTTAGCGGATACAGGGTCAGGCTGGAAAAAAGCTAGCGGCGGTCAAACCAAAATATGGCCTCACCAGTCAGTGAAATCCACAACAGTTGGTCTAAGCCACGTAGGAAGGTGTAGACTTCCAGGCTGGGGTCCTCGGGACGGTAAAAATCTGTGATTGGAAACAATTGGTGACATGGCTCAAAACCGTTCTCAGTGGCGCAGATGCATCCACTCTCTGTGACTTATGATCTTCAATGAAACTGTTTTGTATTTCTTTATTACTCCTTTGTCTCACACCTCTGCTCACTGTTTCTATTATGCTTTTCTTGTACTTTCTTCTCTTGCTTCGCGTGCTACACGGAATGTGGCGACTTGAACTTCCGCACATTTGTGCAAAGTTCTATGTCGAAAACAGGCAGACAGATAGCTTGAATGGTCACTGGGTTCGCTTCGTAACCTGAAAGTTGAGGCCTCAATACTCTGATATGGAGGCATTGGTGCGCACTACTAAAGAGTTTGAAATTAGGACGAAATAGCTACCCAGTTACTCCCTACTTTTCTGTGTTCCTCTTTAACCGGTGCTAGTTGTTTTTTGTTTTCAATGTTCTCCTTTTTTTAACTTTCGTTTATTCTTTCCTATCAGGTAAGAATAACTCACGCACATTGTTATCGGAAGATATTCATCAGCCGAGTCACTTTTATCCCTATCAATTATTAAATTGGGAGGATGATATTATCTATGATCCTCAATTGAGTGCTGCTAAAATTTCTAACTATTCTCGGTTAAATGCTGCCTATGCCGGTTGGATACCGTCGCAACATTGTCGTACTATGTCAGCATTTCAAGTAGGCGATTATAATAATTATTATTACTATTATTCTTAAACATTTTAAAATAATTCATTCATATTTATTATTTCCCACAAAATAATAGAGAAGATTTGCAGCTCGATTGGGTGATTTTGATGTAGTTATGTGACAACAGAAGACAAGGGCCAGGCAAGAAATCGTTTATTAAGGAAATCAACACATATTTATAGATTTTCATGTACATTATTATAGATTATTGTCAGCAGATAAACACAGTCTTCTGATTGGTTGTTTCTCACTGAAAATTAACCTTGCATCTCTCTTCGTGGCTGTTTCTTGAATGTCAGATCATCTATATGTTTTCTCTTTTTGGATAAAAGCTTGATTCCACACAGTACTTTTTGGAAGAGGTATGGAATTTTCACCATGTGATATCGGTAGCCCAAATTTTGTAGGCTAACCATAGATATCAGCTGTGCGTCGGCAGAGGATCGAACTCCAGACCATGTGCATGATCGGCGAGAGTCCTAACCGCTGTGCCACGACCAATATTGGGGACATAAACATTGACGTAAATTACTCTCCACCAATTTTGACTAACAGCTCTCACCACACTACTAGCAAGAAACCTTCCTAAGAAACCAGATGAAAATTAATCCCGACCAAATATAAAAAATATTTCTGAAATATAACGGTTAGAATACCAAAACCATTTGGAATAGATGTAGAAAATTCAAACCAACACAATCACTTCGTTGAGTACTATGCAGAATAATAGACTCGATGATACCAGATGGTTGGAGGCAGTCGGCCACAGGAACCCTTGTCTGACCTAGATTTCGTGCTAGTTGGCACTCACTAGTCAGCGAGGCTTATCTTCAACCTTGAAGGAACTCATGTCCCTTCTGAGATACATCACACTAGTTACTAGTGTCCAATCTAAGTATCCACTGCAGTCCTATAGGAGGTCAATCGCCGGCCCAAATAGCTGCTCAGTGGTAACGTCTCTGACTGCTGGCGGCACTGGGTGACACAGGTTCGAATATCAGAAGGGACATGACTTCCTTCAAGGTTGAAGATATGCCTTGCTGACTGACTGGTGAGTGCCAACTAGCACGAAAGCTAGGTCAAGAAAGGCTTCCTGTGGCTGACTGCCTCCAACCATCTAATATCATCAAATCAATGTGTACCGTGATGGCGAGCTACGTAGAATGGTGGCCACATTGCAAACCTGACTGACAGAATTCAGTCTGCATCAAAAAAAGGACTAGACTCAAATTATAGACTAATAGACTGATCCAGCAGCAGAAGTAGACATGATTAATACACCATCTATAAAATAAATTGCATGAGCTGTGTGTGTTAAGCAGTATATTGATCAAAATGAGCATCACCTTAGACTTCTAGTCCAATGAATATAGACTAGCTGTCAAAAGACACCACATGTATTCCTTTATATTGATAAGTGCAGATAGTTATGGAAACAGATTTCACTGGGAAAAAATGGGGGGAAATTTCAAACAGTTGGAACACTGAAACTCTGAAGGGATTCCCAGAAGTTTGTTACTTATATGAAGCAGCGATTAAAAGATACATTATTATTGTTGTTCGAATTTATCAACCGATAAAGAAGAAATCACTTGACAAAAGGGCTCAAATTTCAGGTCAACGCAGACTGTTAAATTAACAGTCAATCACGACAAAGGTCGAAGATGGAAATGATGAAGATAACCAATTAACAGTAACAACAACAACAACAACCAGCACCGATCACCATCAACGGGAGAGATTTAACAGAGGTTACCTGCTTCAATTATCTAGGAAACATTGTTTCAAATACATGCCGCCAGCGTAACGGATGAAAATGCCAGAATCAGAATCGGAAGGGAAAGATATGCCTTCATCAGTCGGAAAGCAGTTCGGAAATCTTCTGTTGTGTCAGTCAGCATAAGGAATAAGATTCGCATTTTCAACACAAATGTCAAGTCAGTCCTTCTATACGGGTCAGAAACTTGCACTGTGTGTCATGTAAAGGATTTCCAACAGGTTACAGCAGACTTTCATCAACAGCTGCCCTCTTCGCCGGATTCATAATGAAGATCAAATGGCCGGCTGGCCAGAAAGAATTAGCAACAAAAAAAACTCTGTCTGGGAACAAACCAACAGGCAAAAGCCTATTGCTCAACAGATATGTAGGAGAAAATGTGAAAGGATCAGGCATACTTTGAGGAGGCTGTGGAATGACAGGTGCGCTCAATACAGGTCTTTGCTGGAGTTGAAGGTGAGTAGGGATTGACGAGTGGGTCCTCCAAGGGTGACTTGTATGAGGTGAGAGAGATTTTGAGCAATCGTCGGTACAGCTGGATGGAGAGGAGAGAGCAGAAAATAGAATAAAGTGGAGGTATGTTGCTGAAGCCTTATGTTACACTTATAATCCAAGGAAATAATAAAATATAATAATACAAGACAAAGATGGTCAGGATTAGCAATTATATCTGTCATTCATGGAGAACTTAGATAAGTTCACTTCATATTGAAGTTTTCATCGAAGATGTTATCTAGAAGGAAACAGTGAAATGCTCGCAACCAAAAGGAATCAGCCCAAAGAACGCAATCACGTCAATATATGAACTTTTTACCAAAATGAAGCTTGTCAATTCGAGGGGAAATCACAAACATGAATAAATCACTTCATACTGTATCCATTGCACAGAGACATGGCTCCGTTGACATTTGAAACTAATTTAGGTGCTAATTTCCAGTCTCAATAAGAATGGCATCAACTATCAGGAATTAGGTACAGTCAGATGACAAGTCTCCAATGGGACGGAACATACATTCTGGATTCTATTGTCATCCTCCACGAAACAGGTAACTTCTACATAGTATAATCATGGCCGATGACTGAAGAGATTGCTGGTAATGCGGTTCAAAATCTCTGTAGTCTCCCAGATACATTAAGTCGTCAGGTTTCTCCATGTTATTATTTGTTCTCTCTTACATTTCTGTTTATTATAGTTATTTTGAATTTCTTCTTTTTTCTCTACCCTTCACCTTTGTGTGCTGAATGGAGTATGAAAACTTGAATTGCTGCAAGTTTGTGTGCAGAGTCCTATGGTGAAACTTATTCACTGCTTATGAAACTACTTATTTTCACTGTCTAAATTTATTTCGAATAAAATACAGACCTTCATCAACAACTGTCTTTGCTCAATACTCGTGATCAGATAGCCAGGTAAGATCAGGAACAGGGCTCTCTGGGAGAAAACCAACCCATCAGGAACAAACTGTGCAACAAATATACAAGAAGAAATGGAGGTGGATTGGCCATACTCTGAGAAAAAACCCCCAGCAAGTGGGTGACATCACACGCCAGACCAATGCTCGAGTGGAACCCGAATGGGAAGCGGCGACTTAGTTGGTCGTCAGTGTGAGGGTGGGGTGACATAGAGGAGGTGGTGTGAAGAGGAGATGAAATCATGTTGGGTCAGACGTGGAGCCAGGTGAAAACGTTGGCAGAGAAGCGAACCCAATGGAGACGTTCGAGGGTGAAGTCTTATGTTCCTCTAAGAACTAAAGGAGACAATAATAATAAATTTGCTTCAAATTAATTCTTTGTTTCTCGTTGAGAATTGAATAGCAACCACGTCAAAGGTCCCAAAAATTTTCACCAATTGATAACAATTAAGTAGCCAATTTTCACTATAGCCAGCAAGATACACTCCAAGAAGTTGAAATCAGACTGTTCTGAAGCTGGCTACATCCTGGACCATCTTGCATGTGTGTGTGTGGGCGTGTTATCCCAACACTGATTCCTTCTAATTCAAATATTTTGTTTCTGTAGTTCCTTTATAGAGTCCGTTGGTAGTCCAGAGCGGTAAGTCGCTCGCCAATCATCCACGTGGTCCAGAGTTCGATTCTCGGCTGGCGCTCGTTATAAGCCTGACAAAGAGAGGGGATGTTTGACGTGAGGCCGGCAACCCTACCACGTAGAAAAACACCACTGGTGCTACTGAAACTTCAAAGCTCAAGCTTGAAACCCTTTCTGATGTTCCATTCGGGACGCAATGTAATAAAATTTAAAAAAGAACAATAATAATAAGAGTAATTTCTCTCTATCTTATTTACCAATTTTTATTTGTTCATTTCAGGATGCATATCAGGGGAAATTTCCGTTCATTTTAAACTCGAAAACAATCAATGGTATTACATCATCTTCATCGTCTGCTTCGTTAACCACTACACTAATCATGGAAAGTCTGTTGAGTCATCGTTATCATGCTGATAAACATTCAACATCAACAAAGAACACAATCCAATCAAATCCTCCGCCGCCGCCTCCTCCTCCTCCGTATTCAATATTTCCAGTTGAAAATCAAGCTATCCTTAAAGATGCCTGGATACATGATATCATTTACGATTGTGATTTACCCGCTGATCAACAACCTCCACCATTTCTATTGACATTAGATCAAAATGATGAAACCTGCATACTAGAACCGATCAATGATGCGAGTATTGCTACAACTCTATCGATTATACGTAGTCAACGACAGAAACGTCTAATGAGCAGTAGAGGTTTAGAAGGTGAAGTAGACAAAACCACTGGAGATATGTCCACAACGGGCAATATTAATATTGGTAGTGCTAATAATAATATTAATAATACTACTACTACTAATAATAATAGTATTCGTGGTAATATTCAAGACGCCAGTTGGTCTAACTCAAATCAAATGAATGATACAAGTGATAATAAGTTGAATAGTAGTAATATGGCTACAGTGAATCGTACTAGTCTTCAGGTGAACTTTGGTTTAGCTTCTACGCGCGGTATGTTCACTGGTGCTTTAGCTAAAGCTGAAAAAGGCGCAGAAAAGGTGAAAATGATCCTGGGTAAAGTAAGTCAGCGAGTGAATTTTCTACGTCTTCTTCTTCTTCGCCTTTACCCTTCTGGTATAAATTATTTTCATGAGTTTTTGTATGGGATTTGATTTGTTCCAAGTTTAACCACAACCACTTGAGACTAGGGTCTACCCGATAGCTATTTCTTCCTAGTCTGGGCAGACTCGTCGACAGCACACACCTACCGTAGAGAGTTCGAATCCAGGATCTTCTGGTTACTGGATTCGAATTCTCTTCCGGTTATCCCCACCAAATGTAAGATGATGTTACAGGACTGGACTACACTGACTTTTAGTTTAGAAATAGGGAGTGAAGTGGTTGGTAGAGCGTGTTGACTACCTCACTTATTTAAGAAGTACCATCAGCCAATGCCAACGGGTTGACCTCTGACGAAATATCACCACAGATACAGATGGCTAGTTTCGGATATGCCAGTTTACGCCATCTCTGGCTTAGTAGACGTGATATCCGGCTGGCTATCGACCAAAGGGTGGGTGTACTGATCATCAGTCCGCTCCGTCCTCCTTTATGGCTGTGAGTGAGACCTAGCCATTGAGAGTGAAAGACATGAAAAGCCTGACTAGCTGTCTTTGATCATAGGTGCCTACGTTCTATCTCCCGTGTGAAGTGGTAGGTGTAATAGGGTGAGCAATATTGAGGTTAGGCCTTGGCCGAGTGCTAGGTAAGGAGGGGAAATCAATCAACGAGGCTGTGAAATTACATCGACTGAGATGGTTAGGACATGTGTTACGCATGACTGCCTAGTCATCGCCTTCCTCGATAGACGGGCAATGTTAGCTGACGTAGGGTCAGGCTCGAAAAGAGCTATCACTTGGTGGTCAAACCAAAACATGGCTTCATCAGTAAATGAAATCCACAACAGTTAGTTTAAGCGAGCCAGCTAGTCACATAGGAAGGTGTAGACTTCCTGACTGGTTGAGGTCCTCGGGACGTTTAAAAAACCAATGGTTGGAAACAACTGGTGATGTGGCTCAAAATCGCTTTCATTGATGGCTGGCCGGTGCAGATGCACCAACTCCTTGTGACTTATGATTTCCAATGAAAGTATATTGTTCTTCGTTATTACTATTCCTTTGTTTCATATCCCTGTCTACTGTCTCTATTATGCACTTCTTCTACCTTCTTCTGTTGGTTTGTGTGCTACAACAAGGAGTGGAGTGTGTCGACTTGAACTGCTTGCTACACATCGGTGCAAAGTTCTATGTTGAAAACAGACAGACAAGATCTTCCGGTTACAAGGAAGGCTTGTAGACCATTTTTAGTCACTGGGACCCAAATCAACGGCCTATGAGTTTTAACTTCTACTAATTCGCGATGTATATATATATAGCGCAACTACCAGCCAATGTCATATAGTGGCGAGTCATAGTCATAGTCAAATCACGAATTGATAGATGTTAGAATTCATAGCCTGGCTACTGAATTACCAATTTTTTTAAAGTTAATTTTGTATTTCCTGTTGGTTGGTTGATCATATCGGACCGAAATATTCGACCTGTGTTGACCAGTCAGTCGCTAGTTTAACTACAGAAGACAAGGGCCAGGCAACAGATCGTTTATTGAGAAAATCAACCGATATTTATAGGTTTTTAAGTACATTATTATTAACTTTATTGTAATCAGAGAGGCAACGTCTTCTGATTGGTTGTTTCCCTGCTGAAGGTCGTCCTGTCATCTCTTTGTTGCCGTTTCTTAGACAGTCCGTTGATATATATCTACGAATCGTATCCTCCCACGCAAAGTCTGCTGTGATTGGTTGTTGAGTTCCTTAAGCTTAGTCTTTGTGCTTGTTTTAGTTTCTCATGACCCCGATTCGGGACATAAACATGGACGTAAATTGCTGCTTACCAATTTTGGCAAGCAGACACCTCTCACCATACTAGTATGGATGCTTCAGTGATGTTTGAGATTTAACGCGGTGTTATTCAGTGGATGGTGATTAGCACTTATATCTTTATAATTTCATGTTGATAAATCCAAACACAGTTTCATAACGTTTCTATGTAGAGTAGACGATTTTAAAACGATTGGAAAACTCTAGACTCTTGGTTTTTATTTACGTTTTCTCTAATTTATTTATTTATTTATACCAAACGCGAAATTCACTTCAAACTATAATCTTCTGACCACGTGTCTTTTTGTGCAGTTTAATTTTGTTAGCTACCGTTACAGCAAAATTCAAATTATCATTCATATTGGGGATTGTAAATCTGCGATATGAATGATAAAGAAACGAAGTGAAGACGTGAGAATTAAGGTTACTAAGGCTATTTTAAATTCATTTGGCCCCAAACACTTGAAAATTAATATGGTGCTCACTAGAGACTGGATATATATTCAGGAAGCCACCTGGAGTTCTAGTGAGAAGTCGTAGACAGCGGGTTCCATGAAGTCAGGTAAAAGAATAGTTACTCCCCTGTGACGTCGCCTGGCGGTCGCGCCATATATCACGAATTGGCAGAAGTTGAAATTCATGGGTTATTGAGTCGGGCCTCAGTGACTGAATTGTCTACAAACTCGTCTTGTGACACGAAGATCCTGGGTTCGAACTCTGCCGGGTGCATACATCTGAAGAGTCTCAAACTGGGACGAGACATATGTCCAGTGCTCCCTGGCTTTAAAATAGCTCTGCAGCTGATGTCAGCTTTTTATCGAAAGTGTAAAACCATAATTTATGATTTCTCACTGAACTTTTTATTGGAATTAGTTATTGTTAGACTTGAGGATGTAGCTCTCATTGAGGTAATCACACACTCGACTTCCAGTCAGTCAGTGGGTCTTGGTTTCAAGTCTTTCTCTCTACCTGCTTCAGCTTGGACACTGACTTCGCATATTATCCGTGGTAAAACCCATGGCCTGAAACATGAAGGACTTATCCTACGACCTGAATACGAAGAATATTATTGAGCATATGTGTTGTCTGCGCCTTATGCTCATGTTCTTTTATAAGATCAGATTCCCAGTGATTTAGACCTGACATATGTGGTTGATAAACTTATTAACCTGTACATTTTATCGGTATGGAAAACAGTTTTCCAAGTATTGATTTACAAGAATGTGACTGTTTTCAAGTTTAATCATGACCAGACATCAGCTAAAGAACCATTGAATAACAGAGATTACCGGAGATTTGTTTCATCCTGGTTTAAACCTCTTCAGCAGTACTGATGATCTCAGAAGAGATCAGTCCTCGGATATATAGACTACGAGGTGAGTCCTTTAACCATGCAGCCACTAGGACTGAATCAAGTGGCCTATGACTCCTGTATTTCTCCACTCTCAGTCAGTATCACAGGAGGGTATTTGTCGTCAAATCCAACTTGGTTACGACTTCCCACTAGATCTCGAGATATAACTTCATCCTGTAATCAATCCCTGGTGAATATTAGATCAAAATTTCTCTAACTGATGTCACTTCGTAATCTGACTTCAAAACATTTGTCAATCTGTCAATTAATTTTTGCTAATCTTGATGTGTACCAAATAACCGCCGCATATGTGAAATATTTTTTTTTATTGTTTTTCTTTTCTCTGGCAATTTTTTTTCCATAGCATGGCCTTTTAGCCGAGGATGATTGGCAACCAAACCAATCAGAGAAACTAATGACTACAGATAATGATAGAGGAGCAGTAGATCAGCTGCAAGAAGCGAATGAATTCAATTCCGATAGTGGGAATGCTGCCTTGGCATCAGCTGCAGCCGCTGTTTCTGGTATCCCACCAAAAGATCCATTGAATTTATCAAATGATGAATATTATGCTATTCGGAGTGGAGCACTAGCTTTAGGCGGACTAGCACGATGTGGTCCACTTCAGCATAGTACACCGGCAGTCGAGTTATGGCCACCATTTTTCCCAACATTTATGAGTCCGTTACGCTTGCGTCAGTTTCATAGAGTTCCATTGAAAAGGTTAGTAAGTTGGTTTTCTTTTTTTGTCTTATATATAGTTTACTTGAATTTATCAGCTAGCGCTATAGATGCTGCATATCTTGTAGCCCCTCCCGCCTCCACTCCGCGGGTGAATGAATCTTTACTGAGTAGGTTATGGAATTGCAAAGCGGTAAAATGTTGGAACCCTTTGAAATTGGATAATATTAGTATTATATTACAATACCTACGGACATAGTGATACATTTGATAGTTTTTTTCTGATGTGGTTGTGTTCTCTGAGTTAGATAGTTAATTTGCGAAGCTTTCATCGCCCTACTAGCCGACATCTTCAGCGCATACTTCAATTCGAATTGAAGTGAGCTTTTAGATTTCTCCACGAGTTTATTAATCATCTCTCCTAGTCAGTGACCCTGGATGTGATTGGTTGTTTTTGTGTGTTTTCACACCTTCTAGGTTACTTGTACTGTACTGGAAGTGATTGTTTCTTTGACTTGAACTTTGACCCTTTGTGTGTGGGATTTCGTTCTTATCGGTTGATAAATTTTGTCGATCTCTATGTGTCTGTTGATTGATGATTCACTGGAATACCAGACTGGCTTCTAAAAATTCTCTAGGATTCTTGGTGTTTCCTCTGTCTAATATTTGAATGCTGGTTGTCCCAGTCGAATCGATATCCGTAGTTGTCTGTATGTAGTGAGGCGATATGAGGGAGTGGATATCATGTCTTTTGACACCTAGCTTATGATCATGGATACGAAGACAAAGGGGACGTCCACTTTGGCCAATGTAGTGTTTTTCGCAGTTGTTACAATTTATTTTGTAGATGATGTTGGTTTCATCTTCTTTCGCTGTTGGGTCTTTTGGTTGACGTAGAACTGAGTGAAGTGATTTTGTTGGTTTGTGTGAGATGTCTGAACGTGTAAATATTACACAGAGGAAACAACAAGAATCCTAGAGAATTTTTAGAAGCCAGCCTGGTATTCCAGTGAATCATCAATCAACAGACACATAGAGATCGACAAAATTTATCAACCGATAAGAACGAAATCCCACACACAAAGGGTCAAAGTTCAAGTCAAAGAAACAATCACTTCCAGTACAGTACAAGTAACCTAGAAGGTGTGAAAACACACAAAAACAACCAATCACATCCAGGGTCACTGACTAGGAGAGATGATTAATAAACTCGTGGAGAAATCTAAAAGCTCACTTCAACGAATTGAAGTATGCACTGAAGATGTCGGCTAGTAGGGCGATGAAAGCTTCGCAAATTAACTATCTAACTCAGAGAACACAACCGCATCAAAATCATACACCTGAGCTACAAATCTTCTCTATCATATCTACATTTGACAGTGATTCACATCTGCTGAGTATATGACAGTTTGGTAGATAAAACAAAGTTTGAAATTACTGATTGAAAATTGTGAAGATATGACTTACAGGCTTAAGCAATTCGTTTTTCAGTGTTAGCAGGTCCTCTGTTTGAATCTTGTTCTATTTACTTCAGCGTGTAACTCCATAGCCTCGGTAACTGAGGTTTAATATAACACGTTGATTGATTACAGGATTTAATCATGAACTGACATAGGTTAGATGATTATTGGAAAACCTTGGAGTGCTCCACAGCTGTTTCATCCGTTTCAGGACTCTTCACGGCATTTACCAACCGCCAGTGTTTGAATCCAGGAACTTCCGGTTACAAGGCTAACGAGTTCATAGGTCATTAAGCCAAATCATACTAATTCATGGTATAGCACGACTGGTACTAGCCATTGTCATCCGTGGTGAGTATGTATCCTCACATTTGACCTGCTGTACCTCACTGGTCACAACTTCTCACTTGAATCCAAGTAGCTACCTACATGAATAGGACCAGTCGCGCTATATCATGTCGATTGGATAGGGTCCCAGTGGCTTAGTGGTCTATGAGCTCTCCAGCCTTGTAACCAGAAGGTCCTGGGTTCGAACCCTGACGGTGGGAGCGTACTGACGAAGAGTCTGAAACTAGGAGGAAACATTCGTCCAGTACTCCAGTGTTGGTTTCCAACGGTTCTCTATTCCATATCAGTTCATGATGAAATCTTGTAACTAACTAATGTGAAGTCTTTGAGACGCATAGGGTGGTGTGGTTGACTTCCTCTGTGTGTGTGTGTGTGTGTAACCTGCGTTCTGTCTCCCATATTAGGTATCAAATGCTAGGTGAGGAGGGAAAATCAGTCGATGTGGTTGTGAAGTTACACTGATTGAGATGGTTAAGGCATGTGTGTTAGGCATGCCTAGCTATCCATCACCTTCGTCGACGAGCGATGTTAGCCGCTAAAATACGATGGATCAGGTCGGAAAAGAGCTAATAGTGGTCAAACGAAAGCATAGCTTTATCCAGTCAATGAAGTCTATAACAGTGAGTTTGAGCTAGTCAACCGTGTAGGTACGTGTAGACTGCTGTCTGGTTGAGGTCCTCAGGATGATAAAAACCAATAGAGGTTGTAGACAATTGAAGGTGACATTACTCAAAATCTTTCTCCTTGATGGCTGGGGCAGATGCATTCACTCTCTGTGATTTGGCATATCCAGTGAGACTCTATTTTTCTTCCATATTGCTATTCCTTTTCCCGCACTCATACTTCTGTTTGTCATGTCTCTCTCTCTCTCTATTTTGAACCTCTGTTTGCTCTCTTGTTTTGCTTTGTGTATTCTGCTTGGAGGGGGAGAGTGGCAAGTCGAACTGCTGGACATCTGTGCAAAGTTCTATGTTCAAACCAGCCATTCAGTTCAAAACCTGCAGTTTGTTATCGATTTATGCATGATGACGGGGAAATGTAAAATTCAATTAAATAATCAATATGACCCGTTGCAAAAGAGGTGACTAGCTATCGTGGCCCAAGTGGTCTAGTGGATAACGCTTTGACTGGTGTTTGAAATTATGGACACTGGGTTCGAGCCTCGGTGGGAAGATCATCACTCACTGAGAAATGCGGGTATATCCACTGGCTGACGAGTCCCAAATAGGACGAAATGCACTTTGTCCTGGATTCCACTGCTAGTCACCATCCACCAATTAAATATCAGGTCATTATTACTTTATATTTATAATTCTCACCAATTTATTTACACATAAAGATCGAAAGATTAATGATATCATTTTCGTGTTTATGTGGATGGGTGTGTTCTTTTAGATATCTTCGTGGTCCAATGTCACAGTTCAGTGTACCCTTTCCTGTAACTAATCTTACACGTCATATTCATCGTAAAATGCGTGAAAGAGAAGATGAACGAGCTGCTACAGGTGGTGGTGAAATTTTCTTCATGAGAAATCCTGGAGATTTATCTGGAGCTGATGGAGAGATTGTTTTATTTGAATTTTCTGAAGAATACCCTCCATTGATGGCACAGGTACTACTGCTTGCAATATTCAATTTCGTAAACCTATTCGATTCTTGTATTTATTGGCTAGGTCTTTGTTTTCACACGTGGAGAAAGGTGGCTTAAAACACTCAGATTTCAGTCCATGGGCCCCGGGTTCGAATCCCGCCCTCATACAAAGCAGTTGTGGCCCATAGCGTCTCGTGGGACATGAAAGACATCTGTTTTGGGGGAATCAAGTCTTAAAAAAAAGTCTTATGTGTAATACCCATATAACCGCAACACCGAACGATGTCGAATCGATAATTTGGAGAAAGTATGCATTCATTCGGAATTTATTGTTGTCTTCATGTGGCGGTGACTATCGTATCGATTCACAGTAATATTTCGATGAAATATGGCAGGTAGAGAATCATCGAAGGCTAGAGTACTGGATAATCTGTTCCGTCCTAGTTTATTAGGACACTTCAGCAGTACAAAATAGGGCTTGAAACCCAAACCTTCCGAGGCTATCCGATCCCCAGTGGGATAGGTGAATGACGGGCGCATACTGATGAAGAGTTTCAAACTAAGCTGACGAAACAGCTGTCCAATAGTCTCTGGTTTTCGATGATTCTCTAACTGATGTCACACTTGGTAATTATTATTGTTCCCTTGGGTTACTATTCGAACATAGGGCTTCAACTGCACGTCTCCACTTGCCACTTCTGTCTTCCACTGTACTTTTCACCTGCATCCATGTTAGTCCATACTCTTTCAACTCCTCTTTCTTCACACCATCTCCTCCATGTCACCCTTGCACTGACGTCCCACTCGCCGTTTCTCCTTCGGGTTCCACTTGAGCAATGGCGTGATGCTTGTTTATATGGATCTGCACAGCCTCAGCAATATTTAGTAGTCGAACTCTTAAGGCATAATTAAGATTCGTAGGTATTCGGTAAATGACCCTGAAAGCATGGTTAACGTCAATCTTGTATTCTGTATCCACAAGATGAGACACAATACCGCTGCGAATAGATTTTGTTTGTCCTTTACTTAACCACTTTGCAAGGTGATGTTCGGAAATTCGATGAGAAACACGGTTAATTGTACGGCCTATGTAACTGGCTCACTCCACAGGAGCAGTTAAACTGGTAGATACACATGGAAGAGGCGAAATTGAGCAGTTTGTCTTTCACTTCTGAACGCAAAAGACGAGTGGTTTTGAAGACACAGCGTGATTCGACAGCAAGGAATGCTTTGGTCGTAAGGACGTTTAGACTCTTTTTCTTTCTCAATAGTGAAATTTATTGCAGGATGAACCTCGTTAAATTTATCCACGATGTTCTTTGTTTCCTTCTCATATTTCATAATCAAAAATGTGTATCATCCATGTACCGACAATAGAATTCGAGCCAATTAATTAATAACATCCTTCAAAGGCTCATTTTCTAGTTTTGCAAGGAAAATGTCGTCTAGAATGGGTCCTAGTGGTGACCCCATTGACACACCGTCGATTTGTGTGTATAATTCCTTGTTAAATAAGTAATTTTCACATATCTGTCTGTGTACTCTTGGTCACTTTCTCTCTCTCTCTCTCTCTCTCTCTGTCTCCTGTTTGTTTTGGAAATACATGCTTCCAAGCCTACTTACTTTGTGAGACAGTCTTCTGGTTTCGGGTCAGGGAATAATTGACCCGGGAGTTATCAAGCATTCATTATCCGTCAGTCAGCAGTCGTATTTTTCAACACCCGGTAACATCATTAACAAATATCTCTCATAATTCATGTATTTGTGTAAAATATCATTCATTATTATGTGATAATATATATGCGTATATTTCGTTTTCGCAGGTTGGTATGGCTACAAGAATAATAAACTACTATCGTCCATTAGTGCCAAGAGATAGATCCCTTTCACCATGTCCACATGCTTACAATGAACCACCTGAACTACCGTATGGTTCACTTGTTTACGTTGGAGGTTCTGATAGTCCATTTCTTGGTGTTATTCGACCCGGTGGTTGTTTACAGGTAATTCAAATTGTGATTATTATTGTTATTATTATTATTATGCTTATTGTTACTGGATGACTAAAAACAATGACTACTTCTCAATATTACTAGTGATAGTGTATTATTCATATAAGTATAAAACTTGGGCACTGTGGTAGTAGAGTATAACTCCATTATGGATAAGATTTTATTTTGATAAAGCGTCACACAGTGTTGTTATACAGTAGTAATATTTACTGATGACCACATTTCAACCACAAACTATTGCCACTCATATTCATGTCAAGTTACTCACTCACACGCACAACTCTCTTGCTTCATTTATATTCTAGAGTGGAACTGATGATTAGACATTTGAATAAAAATCAACCAGTATAGGATAATGTACATTCAGAAATGATAATAATAATATAAGTGTTATTGATCAAATACAATCAGATGGGAAATGAGACGAGTGTGTTTATAGTCAAAATAAGTGACTTGTTAGAATGTTGTGATATACGTGAAATGAAATAGAATTTTTAGATTATTTATTATCCTCCTCTGATCTGGCTGACTGACTGGTGGTAATAATGTCTTCCATGCATATCTCTGGCATTTGTATTGAGTCATTTCTGTTGCATGTGTTAAGTGTAGCTTCGTTGAACCAGGAAGGATTCAGTGCCCAACCTCTCTCTCTCTCTCTCCACCTACCTAGATTAGTTAGTTTTCAGAATTTTAACCTCATCCCACCCTATTGTGTGGTTGTTTGTCAATGCGTGAAATGCAATTGTTGAGCTTTTTTCCAAATTACTTGTCGCATCAACAAAGAACCACACTACAGTGTAGGAGAGGGTTAAAATTCTAAGAAGTAATCTATGTAGGCGGGGAGAGAGAGAGAGGTTGAGCGCTGAATCCAACGAATCTACACTTAACACATGCAACAGAAATGACTCAATACAAATGCCAGAGATATGCATGGAAGACATTATTACCACCAGTCAGTCAGCCAGATCAGAGGAGGATAATAAATAGTCTAAAAATTCTATCTCAATTCACGTATATCACAACATTCTAACAAGTCACTTATTTTGACTATAAAAACACTCATCACTGTGCGTCGGCGGCACAGTGGTTAGGACTCTCGCCGACCATGCACATGGTCCGGGGTTCGAGCCCACACCGACGCACACTTGATATCTATGGTCGGCTTGCGAATTTTGGGCTACCGATATCCACGCCGAAAATTCCATACACGTACCAAAAATACAGTGGAATCAAGCTGTAATCAAAAAAAAAAACAAAAAAAAATAAAATAAATCTGATTCTATTGGTTTGATCAATAACACTCATATTATTATTATTATTATTATTATTATTATTATTATTATTATTTCTGAATGTACATTATCCTATATTGGTTGATTTTTATTCAAATGTCTAATCATCATCAATTCCACTCATGTATATAAGTGAAGCAAGACGGTTGTGTGTGAGTGAGTGACTTGATGTGATTGTGAGTGGGAATAGTTTGTGGTTGAAATGTGGTCATCAGTAAATGTAACTGTATAACACCACTGTGTGATTTATCAAAATAAAATCTTATCCATAATGGAGTAATGATGCAGTGATAATTTTTGTTTTAATCCCTTGGCGTTTCCAGTGGAATATAGGGCTTCAAACATGAGCTTTGAAGTTTCAGTAGCAACAGTGGTGTTTTTCTACGGGGAAGGGTTGCACTATCCCGCTATCGCGCCCAATATTCCCCGCTCTTTGTGGAGCTTATAATCAGTTAAGGAAGGTAAAGCTGTGCTGTGGCTAGGACTCGAACCCTGGACTGCGTGTATGGTTGCCGAGAGTTTTACCGCTGAACCACCAACGCGCATACACACTAATAATTAGACAATAGAAACTGAAACAATCTGGCCTACAGCAGGATTTCAAATCAGTAGTAGCCTGCCTGGAGGAGTTGGGTCGGGTATGTACGTTGAGGAGGGCGTTGAATGATATCACACTCCAGGTCACCGAGTAGTTAAACCCCAACAGGAAGTAACGAGTGGGTCGTCAGTAGGCGGGTGATATGAAGGAGATCGTGTGAATTTGAGGAGATGAGAGATTATGGGCGATCGTGGAGGCACCCAGCTGAAGAGGAGAGCAGAAAATAGAACAGAGTGGAGATGTGTTGTTGAAGCCCTATGTTCCATTGGGAACCCAAGGGAATAATAATAATTTTTAAGTATTGGTTTGGTTTGTTGTAGGGATTTTGTTTGATTGCATGGAGGATTTGATCATGAGCTGACATCAGTTAGGTTTTCCAGTGGTTCTCTAACTGATGTCAGCTCATGATCAAATCCTCCATGCAATAATAATAATGGTGGTGGTTGTCTGCCTCGTATGTTGGTTTAAGCTGTTAGACCTAGTAGCTGACTAAATCTCACTTTCACTTCAAGCTCTAAGAGTTTTTTTTATTCCAGCTGTCGTGTAAATGAGTAGTGGTAAGCTGTGACCCGAACAGATTCTCTCTTATACCAATCTAAGTTATTGGTAAAGAAAATTATACGGCCTTTTTACTTGTAATGAATAATCAAATGTTATTAGATAGTTGGAGGAAATTGGCCACAGGAAGCCTTGAACACACCTAGGTTTCGTGCTAGTTGGCACTCACTAGTCAGCAAGACAGGCGTATCTGCAACCAGCTTGAAGGAACTCATGTCCCTTCTGAGATTCGAACCCGCGTCACCCAGTGCCGCCTGCAGTCAGAAACGTTACCACTGAGCAGATATTCGGGCTCGCGACTAACCTCCTGTAGGACTGTCGTGGGTATTTTGATTGCACCAAAGAAAGGGCTAGATACGTCACACTAGTTACTAGTGTCCAATCAAAATGTAATAAAATGTTCTTTGAAATTGGTGACAAATTTGATTAGAAGGCAAAGATAAATACTGTATGAATTACTGTCTTGATGACAAGAATATTGTGTGTAGCCAATCCCGAAGGGAGAAATTGTTGTCTAGTCCCTTCAAAGTCGATGTCTGCTACATGATCGACTTGGCGATCAACAAAGATTTTATACCGGCTTCAGGTTTATTAGTTCTTTTACGGGATTATAAGCACAAACTGAGCATCAAGAAATGCGCCACTCGCCCTTTTTTCAATAATTTGTTTGCGGTCTGAAGTACTATCTTGCCTCTGAGACTGGGGGCAAGTAGTTGCCTCATCGAAACTACTCCTTGAGCCTTTGACTTGAAGTTTGATCTACAAGGCAGTACAATGATGTCAAGAGGTGCCATTCCCATGATTTCTGGTAACTGAAAGAGACTCATACGTCGTGCGATCTTTTTGGATTTTCCAGTTCTTGTGCTGCATAGGTTTGGGATCGGGGTTTTCCAGCTGGACCAGGTAGATCTCCATCACCAAACATCCATATTAGCCTTTTTTCTTTCGAAAAACAACTGGTCTCCGTTGTATGATGGTGATGAATATGATGAATGCTTGACCATATTAGGGCATTTCGAGGGAAAGACTGGAGTTAACTGAACTTCTGCTATACCGGGTTGTTCATGATGTGTTTAGGTCATCAACTTTTCAAGAAGTCGAACTATAAAAATAGTGATGAGCACATTAAGTGTTGTTATTGGAGTTTCACGCTTAACTTTTAAAAATCTCATCTTCATGAGTCTGTTGTTCGAACTCTTCTCTACCTGCTTCAGTGTAAAGTTGACTGTTTAAGTATCTTCAGCTGTCAAATAACAAGTATGGCTCATAAGTGAAAATGAACTTTCATATATCTGGATGTAAACCCTCTCCACCCTTACCAAACAACTTTGATTCAGGGAAAGCAAATCATGGGTGGACCAAATTACGACGCTACGCATCTTTCTTGAACAGGGAGGGATTAGAATGTGACAGTCAACTATCTACCTTAACAACTTGATCGATTTTTGACAAAGCCCTCCATAGAGTTAGTTGGTCAGCCGCCAAGTAGTTTGGAAGTTGCTGCAATATTATGAAGTCCAGTGCCCGAAACCGTTATCAGCTTCAGGTAATTCACAACAGAAATCTCAGCGACAACTTTAAAGTGAAGACAGAAGTAAGACAGGGCTGCCTACTGCTATCATCGATGCTATTCCTGAATTTTGTGAACTTAATCATTCAGAAGACTGTGGGGAGCTAGAAACCAGAGATACGTTGGGTGGATAAGAAAACTCGAGAGGATCTGGACTTTACGGGTGATTTACGCCCAGCATCACCAAAAAAACCTGGAGAACTACAGACGAAAACTGACAATTCGGAAAGAGCGGCAGCGGAGATAGGACTTCAAGTGACTATAGAAAGATGGCAAAGTTGAAGAAGATATCTCCCCGACCAATACCAAGAAGAAGGAGTAGAAGCACCAGTCATCAACAACGGGAGAAAATCAATAGAAGTCACTTCTTTCGCTTATCCAGGCATTATTATGTTAAAAGGAGATTATTTAGTGTAAACCATTGAGCCACTGGTGTGGTGAGAGCAGGCCGTGAGGAAATATGTACAAGGCTGATTCAACAACCAATCACAGCAAAGTTAACGTGGCAAAATATGATTCGCAGATAGAGAACTCTATTTGTCGAGGAATCCCGAAACAACCAATCAGAAGCCTGCGTTTGCCTGCCTAACTTCTGATAAACAACCAATCAGATGACTGAGCTTGTCTACTTGCATAAGCTATAATAATGTATGTGAAATATGTATAAATACGTGTTGATTTTCATAATAAAACGATCTGTTGCCTAGCCCTTGTCTTCTGTTGTTACACTGGGACCCGATCCAATGGTCAGCCTATGAATTTTAACTTCTGCAAATTCACGACATAGCGCGACCATTTCGCAATGTCTCCTACAATGAGTTACTGCCTCATCTTCAACTATTGCGAAATGGTCGCGCTATGTCGTGAATTTGCAGAAGTTAAAATTCATGGGCTGACCATTGGATCGGGTCCCAGTTGCTCAATGGTCTACGAGCTCGCTAGCCTTGTAACCAGAAGGTCCTGGGTTCGAACACAGTTGAGGTCGGTGCGTACCGCTGAGGAGTCCCAAACTAGGACTGAAGAAACCGCTGTCCAGTACTCCTCCCAGCTGATTTTCCAGTGGTTCTCTAACTGATGTCAGCTCATGATGAAATCCTCCAACCAATCAATTAAACAAAATCCCTACAAAACCAATGCTTGAAAATTATTAGGGTAACACTGAGTGTTATACGTCTGTCGACTAGTTTATCTAATTATATATATATATATATATATATATATATATATATTTATTTATTTATTTATATATATATAGTTCAAGATTTAACATGTGAATTGCCATTGCTTTTGCACTTTAAAGAATCTTGATTCCTACTTATTCTGTAGATAACTTTAAAGTTCCTTTGCAGGTTAGCTCGGTGTCCAGATTCGATCACGTATTCTAGGGTAGATCTACTGCAGATGTGGGGGGATCTTTTTTCTCCTTTATAAAACTATAAGGGTATGGCCGAGATAGCTACCTCCACACAAGCAGGTAAGTTGATAGATGCACATTAAATGAGGCCAACAGTGGTAGTTTATCTTTCATGTCCATGCGAATCATTGGTTTTGGTGGAGAAAGTTTTGTTGAAGTTCATCTACGAAGTAGATTTCCTTCAATGAGCGGAACAGGTCGTTTTTCAGTATTTCTGCTTCTGGTACTGTTAATGAGTCTCCATTGAATTGAAGACTGAAGTAGAAAAGTCTTTCAGAGACAGAAATTGTGGGTGGTTTTTATTAAAAAAGAGAATAATATCGTTGAACGTCTTTTCTCTTATCTAATTCTCCTTTTAGACTGTTGAAAATAGTATGTATCGTGCACCAATCTATCCGCATACACTTTCCAATACTGATTTCTTATTAATACGTAATCGTAATGGGATTAGTATACGTCGTATAGCGAATGCATTTACTGTTGGTCAAGAGGTTCCCCTAATGGAAGTCCCCGGTCCAAATTCAAAACGTGCTAACAATTTTGTACGTGATTTTCTACAAGTATTCATCCTACGCTTATTCCTACGTAGTACAGATGAACCGAAACGTATTAAAATGGAAGAGATTCGTAAGGCTTTTCCAAATCATTCAGAGAGTAGTGTCAGAAAACGACTGAAAATTTGTGCTGATTTTAAACGTACTGGTATGTTGTCTCTTCTTAAAAAAAACATTATTTTGTTGATATATGTAAAGAATTTTTCACCTAACTTAAAGCAGTTATCTTGATTGTACCTAAATCTGTTAGACATATAGCACATTACCTCATAATATTAATTTGACGGCCAATGGTGACCAAACGTGAGTGGGGATGATAACGATGACATTGTTGAGAGAGGTTGAAATCCACAGTGAGTGAGTGAGTGAGTGAGTGAGTGAGTGAGTGAGTGAGTGAGTGAGTGAGTGAGTGAGTGAGTGAGTGAGTGAGTGAGTGAGTGAGTGAGTGAGTGAGTGAGTGAGTGAGTGAGTGAGTGAGTGAGTGAGTGAGTGAGTGAGTGAGTGAGTGAGTGAGTGAGTGAGTGAGTGAGTGAGTGAGTGAGTGAGTGAGTGAGTGAGTGAGTGAGTGAGTGAGTGAGTGAGTGAGTGAGTGAGTGAGTGAGTGAGTGAGTGAGTGAGTGAGTGAGTGAGTGAGTGAGTGAGTGAGTGAGTGAGTGAGTGAGTGAGTGAGTGAGTGAGTGAGTGAGTGAGTGAGTGAGTGAGTGAGTGAGTGAGTGAGTGAGTGAGTGAGTGAGTGAGTGAGTGAGTGAGTGAGTGAGTGAGTGAGTGAGTGAGTGAGTGAGTGAGTGAGTGAGTGAGTGAGTGAGTGAGTGAGTGAGTGAGTGAGTGAGTGAGTGAGTGAGTGAGTGAGTGAGTGAGTGAGTGAGTGAGTGAGTGAGTGAGTGAGTGAGTGAGTGAGTGAGTGAGTGAGTGAGTGAGTGAGTGAGTGAGTGAGTGAGTGAGTGAGTGAGTGAGTGAGTGAGTGAGTGAGTGAGTGAGTGAGTGAGTGAGTGAGTGAGTGAGTGAGTGAGTGAGTGAGTGAGTGAGTGAGTGAGTGAGTGAGTGAGTGAGTGAGTGAGTGAGTGAGTGAGTGAGTGAGTGAGTGAGTGAGTGAGTGAGTGAAATAATAAATAACTCACTTTTTTGATATATTGACCAGAGTATAGGAATGCATGAGGGTAAGTGTGTGTCAGTTAGAACTATTTCCACTTTTCCATTAACTACAATTCCCTTTGGTTTCCAGTGGACCATAGGGCCCCAACGGAACATCTCTATATTGCTCAATCCTGTGCCATCCTCCTTCTCAGATTCCGCGTTTTCCCATACTCTCTCATCTCCTTCCCGCACGATATCCACCATGTCAACTACGGACAGGCAACTCGTCTTCGTCCATTCGTATTCCACACGAGAGCCTGGGGAAGGGGTGACGCAGTCACTCAACAGTCTCCTCAGCATGTATCCGATCCATTTCCATTTATATTTTCTGTGAAATACTTGTTGGGTTGTTTCTTGGCTCATTGCTAGAGTTTGATTGTTGCTACCTCTTTCTGGCCAGCCATCTGATCTTTACTATCGTATGAGGACAGCTGTAGTAGATTAACGTCTGAACCCTGTTTAAAATACTTTTGGTAACGCGTTCATTAAGCCTCTGAAGCATACCGAAGTACTGACTGATTTGACATCTGTGTTGAAAATTCGAATCTTGTTCTTTGTGTTTAGTACGTTAGATGAAGCTCTGTTTTGCTCTTGCTATGCTGCTCCCTAGATAAGTGAAATAAGCGATTCCCTTCAAATTTCTCTCATGATACTGATTGATGCCTGTTGTTGTTGTCGTCGTCGTCGTACAGTGAGTATCTCCATCACCTCAGTCTTTTCCATGTTCACTTAAAGTCCTATCTTCTCTGCCAGCCTCTTCTACCGACTTGTCATTTTTTCACCTGTAGCTCTTCAAGTTTGTATGCCATCAGACCCTCCTAGAATAAAGATCCTCTAAGGTCTTCTTATCGACCCAAGGCACATCTGTCTTCTCGCTCCCTACATACGGTCTTCCATATAATTTCTAGTCCATCAAAATCAGGAAATATCGTGGATGATAGCAATGGGCGGTCTTGTCTTACTCTTGTCTTCACTTCAAATTCGTCGCTGGGATTCTTGTTGTGAATCACTTGACAAGTGACATTGTCATATAGTTGTTAAATGATTATCTTCATTGAAGTTTTTTTTACATATTGTCGAAAATGCCCTCTGAAACCTGTCATTCATTCATTTATCTGAAGAATGACTTTCTCAGTTTATGCACTGGGTAGACCAGTCGTTTATGGCCTAACGATTTACGAAATGGTTAGGACATGTGTCAATTATGCCTAGTCATCGCCTTCCTCGACGGGAAATGTTAGCTGACATAGGGTGAGGCTGGAAAAGAGCTAGCGGCGGTCAAACCAAAATATGGCCTCACCAGTCAGTGAAATCCACAACAGTTAGTTTAAGCCAGCTAGTCACGTGGGAAGGTGTAGACTGGCTTCCTGGTTGTTATCCTCAAGACGGTATAAACCAACGAAGTCTGGAAACAATCGGTGATATGGCTCAAACTCATCGTTCTCATTGATGGCTGGTGCAGATGCATCCACCCCTTGTGACTTATGATTTACAGTGAAACTATATTGTTTTTTGTTATTACTAATCCTTTGTTTCACACCACTGTTTACTGTCTCTATTATGCATTCCTTTGACTTTCTTCTCTTGTTTTGTGTGCTACAAGGAATGGATTGTGTCGACTTGAACTGGTGCACATCGGTGGAAAGTTCTATGTCGAAAACAGACAGACAGACCTCCTTATTTAATTTTGCATTACTCAATAGGATAGTGAGCTCAGTCCACTGAACTGGTCTTTTATATTTCAGTCTATGAGACACACTCACTTTTTGGGGGATTGGTGATGCTAACCATTCTGAGATAGGATCACCAATATCCCCGGTTGTAGCAGATATATTCATGGATAGGTGGGAAAAGATAGCAATTGAAACGTTCACCCCCACCCCAAAAGTATGGTGGAGGTATGTAGATGACACATTCACTGTACTTAGAACACAAGATATAGATAGGTTTTTCGAACACATTAACTCGAAGGCAGAGGCGATTCAATTCACTTATGAATTGGAAAGTTAGGAAGGGAAGCTTCCAATGTTAGATTGCAACATAAAAAAGAAAGATGGGAAGCTAAACACTAGTGTTTACAGAAAACCCATACACACAAACAGATATTTGGATTTCCAATCATCCCATCCTATGTCAGTAAAAATGGGATTAGTGAAATGTTTAAAGTGATGCTAACCAGTCACCTAGACTGAAGTGTGTGTGGCGGGATTCGAACCCGAGACGCACTACCCACTGGAAGTCGACTGCTTAAGTCAGTGAACCATGTCTCCATCTTTATCTAGTTGAAGACATAGTAATATCACTCTATTCTCTCTTCACTTGTCTACTCCTCAATCACAAGAAACTGGTCAATGATACCAGCTGCCTATTCTCTGCTTTTAAAGATGCTGGCTGGATTCTATCAGTCAACTTTTCAGCTAGGTAACTAAACTGTTTCACCCTCATGAGGTGCACTTTCAGCTGACGACGTCAATTGGTAATTAGTGCCAGTCGACAAGTAGCCCTCAGCCTACATATTGTAAATGTTGGCAGTTGCTATCAAAGCAATTCATGTCCTTTTCGGGGATCCGAACCCACCCTATCTCAAAAGGTGGTGCAGTCACAGAGGTTGCCAGTGAACAACTGTCCGGTTATATTATGTCTGTATGTCTCTCTGTCTGGATTCAACATAGAACTTGGCACCGGAGTGCACCAGTTCGAGTTGCCACGTTCCAAATATCACACACAAAGGTAGACAAGAAGATGAGTGAAGAGAATCAATAGACAAGTTTGACAAGTATAAGAGTGAAACAGAATGGGTAATGGTAGAAAGGAATATGAAAGATTACAGAGACTGAATACATCTGCACTGGCCATTGACAACGATTTTGAGCCATTTCACCTATTGTCTCCAGCCATTGATTCCTAGAGTCCCGAGGGCCCCAACCCGGGTTATATTATGTATAAAAAGTTATTTAAAGGGATGAGTATTTTATATATTGAAAATTGAATGTATTCTCTGATAGCAACTCTCTTCAATGTATATATGTATATTTGGGCGTGTTACATAACAGGTTCTGATGCAAGTTGGTGGGTTCTACGTTCTGACTATCGATTACCATCAGAAGAGGAAGTTCGTTATCTTGTTTCACCAGAAGACTGTTGTGCACATTACAGTATGCTGGCGGCTGAATTACGTCTAAAAGATGCTGGTTACGGTGAAAAGTGTCTATTTGTTTTGGATGAAAATCAAGGCGAAGAAGAAGAGGATAAAGAAGGTCAAGTAAGTGACAGTAGTGTGTTTCCCCCACCCACTCACACCCCTAGGTAGTGGAGTAACTAATTCTTCCCTTTTTTTTCTCTTTTATTCCTTTGAGTTTCGAGTGCAGTAGAAAGCTGATAATGCTTAAGCTATCCTGAAGTTTCAGTAAGGCTGATGTTGTTTTCTACATGAATTATTAGGTTACTAGCCTCAAGTCTAACTCCCCCCCTCCCTACCTCTTCATCGGACTTATTTACCCTCTAAATTAAGTTTAAGGAGTGCACCAGCCAGGAGTGCACACGTGGTTCACTGGCGAACACTGTACTACTGATATATCAACTCAAAAAAGACGCGTTGAAGCACACAACTCTTTGTTCTGTTGTTATGTCAAAATTCGTTTTAAGAAGAGGAGAACCTTCGGATCTCGCTGTCGTATAATGAATGATATTTACTGTTTCAGTTGTTTTAAGAAAGCAGACATCTATCTGATAGCAGTGAAATCCAGGAGGTGCATTCTATTTGGGATTCGTCAGTTGAATATACTCGTATCTCATTGACTAATGATATCCTGACTGGGACTTCAACCTACCCACCCACGCAGCACACTGAATCACCATCGATTTAGGGATTAAGTCTCCCAACTCGATATCTTGGCTTCGTTCTGCATTCTAGGAGCCTTTTTCGATTGTCAGATGGTTGGAAACCAGTCGGAGGGGAGTCTTCAACATAGGTTTGGTGCTTTTTGGCACTCGTCAACAAAGCGTATTTTCAATCTTGAAGGAACTCATTTCTCTCTCTCTCTTGAGATTCGGACCGGAGTCACCCACTGCTCTACAGTGGGAGGAAGGCAAGTTAGTAGAGATGAAGATGAAGACAAAGATAAGTGAGGATTAGAGAGGTTTTGTGTACATTTCGGATTGTGAGGGCGTTTGTTACTTCCCGGCTGCCCACACCGTGGAAGTTGGTTTCGTGACCGCAGAGCCCAGGGGACAACTGCTTGAGGCCGGTCACGCGCGGCCTGTTTTTGTTTGTTCTCTTTTGTTTGGTGTGCCTCAGTAGCATACTTATCACTCCTGCCCTGTGACACGGCAGCAGGAAGCGCGATCGTTGTTAATCCGAGCCACGGCCGATCCGGCATGAAATTTTGTGAATTTGTTTGAACCATGGTATTGGATGGGGTAGCTGCTTTTTGTTTAACCGCTATCCAAACAACCTGCCTGGCGTGGTAGAACCTCAAGAGACATAAGTCTCAGCCAGTATAGCTTGATTAGGTCATTGCGGTATTCAAGCCTGACCACCACGTCAAGGTAGCAGCTTTCGGTCGGGTTGGGGGCCTCGGGACTCTAGGAATCAATGGCTGGAGACAATAGGTGACATGGCTCAAAATCGTTGTCAATGGCGCAGATGTATTCAGTCTCTATAATCTTTCATATTCCTTACTACCATTACCCATTCTGTTTCACTCTTATATTTGTCAGACTGTATTGATTCTCTTCACTCATCTTCTTGTCTACCTCTGTGTGCTATTTGGAACGTGGCAACTCGAACTGGTGCACTTCGGTGCCAAGTTCTATGTTGAATCCAGACAGACAGACTGCTCTACAGCCAGAGACGTTACTAGTGAGCAACTAGCTATTTGGTCTCGTGATTGGCCTCCTGTAGGGGAGTGTATTGGATGCTTTGATTGGGTACTGACTAGTGTCATGCGAGCTATAATAGCTCACCGGTAACAGCAGTGACCGCACCACTGGATGACCTGGGTTGGAATCTCAGGAGGGACGTAAGTCCCTTGAAGATATTAGATATGCCTTGTTGACGAGTACCAACAAACATAAAACCACCTAGGTGAGGCGCTGGGCTTCCCTCCGATTATCACCTAGTGTGGTGAACACACTGGAGACTAGAGACGCATGACACTAGTTAGTGTCTAATCTATGTGCCTTTTAGGTTATTAATTTACATGCTATCTGCCTTATATAATACTGTTTGACTATTTCATAAGGCAGCTAGCTGAGCAACAACGTCAGGAGTTGTGAATTCTCATGGCTCCTAGTGACCAGAATGAAATCTGTTACTACTTTATTGTTCAATATAGCTTTCGCATCAAAGTTTCCCTAAGCCCCTTAGTGGGCTTCAGGGTCCATCAGTCGGGTGGTAGGCACCGAATGTTGTCACTTTGCTCCTCACTTTTTTAAGATTACTTTTCGTCACCGCGTGAAGACAGCGGGTATGCACGTGTAGCTGATTGATGAGAAGGAAGACCAGAGTGTACTCACCTTTGGGTGTATAAGTTCATTCTTAGGTAGGTTGACACTTGTTATCTATCTGTTCACGTTTGTTAGTCAACCTGTTGCGTCGATCTACTTTATTTTTATAATAATAATAATAATAATAAAGGCTAACAGGAACAGTCGAGATATGATTCATAGGTCTTCGTATTAGATTCTTAGCCTGTAGGCCTTGGGCTCGAGTCCCACTTCATCTAATTTAGCACGGGCTACATGTAATTAGTGTAGCTCATACATACTCCCATCCCAAGTAAATCAATTCAAACCATGAATTCAACGAGAAACTATTGAAAATCCATCCAGACTTGGCTAAGTATCCTTGGAGAGTCAGTTTGACTGTTGAAGCTGAAAATGTTGCAGACGAATAAACCGTAAAAAGTAAGTAATAGCTGACTGAACACTTTGCTGACACAGTTCTCTATTCAGTCAGCTTTATTATCACTTCAATATAGCTGTGTGTTTCTTTTTTGCTGTACACTTAATTTTCAATTCATGCTTTATTATTCTCCCCATGTTTTTTCCCTAACACTTTAAAGCCTAAAATGGAAGATGAAGTCAGAGCTGCACCATGGAATACAACACGAGCGTATTTAGCATCACAACGTGGTGGTTGCTTTCTTGAATTACACGGAGCTGCTGATCCAACTGGTTGTGGTGAAGCTTTTTCCTATTCTAAAACATCAGCTAAACCTGGTGCATTATTTCGACAAGCTGGAGGTGAAGTGGCTAGAGGACTGTTGAAAGGTAAACGTACTGTCACTGGAACTGATGCGGATTTGCGTAAACTGCATCTGCGGGATGCACGTGCTTTATTACGTTCATTTGGTATTAGTGAAGCTGACTTGAAGACATTTAAACGGTGAGTACCCCCGCCCCCCCCTTGAATATGTATTCTGTGTATGTCTCTATGTGTGTGTGTGTGCGCTCGCCTCTGTTAAGTATTAGATATATCGATTTAAGGATTGACTTGTTATCTGGATACAGTTTCCTCCGTCGACATATTCTCATAGGTGAAGACGCTGACTAAATACAGAGTCTTAGGGAAAACATCTTGAAGAAAAGTTTTCTGAACACCTTGAGCTGCAATCTACGAATGTCTGCCATTCAATTCGCTCCTGCCAAATGTAAGATGATGTTACAGGACTGGACTTCACTGACTAACTCCTAGTTTACAAATAGGGAGTGAAGTGGTAGAGCTACTTGACCGCTTCACTTATTTGGGAAGTACCATCAGCCAGTGCCAACGGGTTGATCTCTGACGAATTCTCAGTGCGGATACAGAGGGCTAGTTTCGAATATGCCAGTTTACGTCGTCTCTGGCTTAGTAAACGTGATATCAGGCTGGCTATCGACTAAAGGGCGGGTGTTTGTACTGCTCAGCAGTCCGCTCCGTCCTCCTTTAAGGCTGTGATCGAGACCTGGCCATTGAGAGTGGAGGACATGAAAAGATTAGCTAGCTGTCTTTGATCATACGTGCATGCGCTCTATCTCCCGTGTGAAGTGGTAGGTGTAATAGGGTGAGCAATATTGAGGTTAGGCCTCGATCGAGTGCTAGGTAAGAAGGAGATATCAATCGACGAAATTACATCGACTGAGAAGGTTAGGACATGTGTTACGTATGCATGTCTAGTCATCACCTTCCTCGACAGATGGGCAATGTTAGCTAACATAGGGTCAGGCTGGAAAAGAGCTAGCGGCGGTCAAACCAAAACATGGCTTCATCAGTCAATGAAATCCACAACAGTTAGTTTAAGCGAGCCAGCTAGTCACATAGGAAGGTGTAGACTTCTTGATTGGCTAGTTGGGGTCCTCGGGACGCTAAAAACTAGTGAAGGCTGGAGACAATTGGTGATATGGCTCAAACTCATCGTTCTCATTGATGGCTGGCGCAGATGCATTCACTCTCTGTGATTTGGCATATCCAGTGAGACTCTATTTTTCTTCCATATTGCTATTCCTTTTCCCGCACTCATACTTCTGTTTGTCATGTCTCTCCCTCTCTCTCTCTATTTTGAACCTCTGTTTACTCTCTTGTTTTGCTTTGTGTATTCTGCTTGGAGGGAGAGAGTGGCAAGTCGAACTGCTGGACATCTGTACAAAGTTCTCTGTTGAATCCAGTCAGTCACTCAATGATATATTATGGTGAGTTAAATTAAGGTTGGCCGTATTTTGTCAGGTAAGGAAACGAAATCAATCGATAAGGTTGTGATGCTGCATCGATTGAACTGTCTAGAACACATGGTGCACCTGCCTTTCCCGATGATCAATTTTAACTTATATTATTGGATTATGTCAGAAGAGAGTTAGGGGTGGTCAAACCAATCCCTGTCATCAATCAATGAAATCTTTGTTAGTTGGTTTGAGCCAACCAAGCAGGGAATCGCTGGCTGTCTGGTTGGAGTCCGACTGGGGATTCTAAGATCCAATGGTTTGATGAGACTATTGGTTGTATGTTTCAGAATCGTTTCAGTCCATCCATTTGTAATGCTAAGCGGTCTGATTGGTTGGTTCAAGGTCATTTGACTGTGGTATCTTTTCTTTACTGTCGCTTTTGTAAATAATCTATGTTTGGTCACAAGAACCATTGGAAAACCACCAAGGAGTACTGGACAGCTGTTTTGTCCCAGCTTTGGACTCTTCGACGGCACGTATCCACTGCAGTTGAAATTTAGGACCTTCCAATTACAAGGTCTACGAGTTCGTAGACTATTAAGCCATTAGGACTCAATCCAATGGCCCGTGGATTCAAACTTCTGTCAATTCCCAAACTAGGAGGAAAGAGCCATCTAGTACACTCTGGTTTTTTGTATGGTCCCCTGATTGATATCAGCAAGTGACAAACTTGCAACCAATCAAATCCTTGTAAACCAACATTTCAAAATCAATGTTATATCTACAAAGTGACTAGGAAAACCAGCTCCTAAACTTAATCATCATTTGTTGAGTTACTCGTAAGATTACGGTGAAAGGGATAGTAATAACACTGCCGTCTATATATATAACTTTTTTAATTCCTCTAATTTTTCTTAGTTGGGAGATTATTGACATGGTTCGTTTCACATCGACTGAACGAGCGAAACAAGGCGAAGAAGAAGGTTCAGCAAAATTTGCTCGTGGTAATCGTCTATCAATGAGTGAACAAATACGGTGTTATAAAGAAGAATGTCAGCGAATATTTGATCTGCAGAATCGTGTCCTGTCGAATCCAGAACTGTTAAGCTCTGATGAAGAGATGAGCAGTGAAGATGATGAAGATGAAGTCACCGGAGCTGATGGTGTTGGTCATCGATCTACAGGACTAGGTGGGCATAGTTCCAGTGGACCGAGTAATTCTATCGGTGGTGTACGTCTGTCCAGTCTGTCGTCATCAGCTCGTTCTTATGCACAAGTTAGTCGTAATATGGAATCGTTAATGTCTAATCGGATGACATCGAAAGAATTAGATAGTAAAGGCGATGATAAGGATCGGAGTAAACTGAAAAGAGCTTTAGAAGGCAGTGTAAGTTTAGTCAGTGTTTAGTTAATGTTCACCTTTTATATATATTATTTATTACTATTATCATTGGTAATAATAAAAAGACTGCGCCTGTGGAGCGAGTTATATCGTCTGTTGCTCTAGGAACTTGATTTCTCGTGCTCGCTTGAGAGCATCTCCCACTACGGATAAGTAAAGGTGTAGTCAAGACCTTTAACAATTCGATATTGGACCATCTGATGCAAACCGGCCACAAAGCCAGCCAGGGTTGAAGAATCCTTCTCTATAATCTACCGGGTGCTTAATAAATTGCCAAAATCATCGAAGCACTGCATGCTCAAAACACCAGAGGCTATTGCAATTCGCCTCAAACAACCAGTACTCTGTGTGCAAAAGAAACAAGTTCAGCCAGCCACTACTAGTGCCCTGATCGGCCTTCAGTAGAGACTATAAATTCATGAATTTGTAATATTATCTCTCCTAATTTTTCTGACATTCGGCTTATTTTGTGTTGATGCTATTGAACTGCAATCTGTTGATATTATTGATTCGATGTTATTTAAACAGTAACATTAATGTTGTTGTTCATAACACTAATTCATTCATTCATTCATTCACTATAATGTATATATAACTCTAGAGCCTGATGATGAAGGGGTTATCGAAAAGAGTACTCTTTGTTCAGTATCCATTCTTTTGAAAAATTTCAATGGGCATTTTTGATTAGTGAATGAAAAGACAGTTGCAGCGAAGAAAATTTCCTTTTCGACGAAGTCATCATCTAGGCTGTACATTCGTGTATTTATATCAAATGGATGGGAAAGTTCCAGAATAATTTCCAGTCAAGGGTCAAATTAATAAAATTACAATTAGGAATTAAAACGCCATAATAAACAGAGGGAAGAATATAGCTCAGACAAAGTAGCATCATAATTACTGAGAAGATTGACATGTTGTGCAGTTAGGGATTGAATATGTAGAAATAATAAAATGACAGAATAGACAGGAAGTTCGGATATGAAATCATGGTAGTGTAAGTAGGGATTAAGAAAACTTAAAAGTAACACGAATAAACAGGAAGTTTGGATAAGAAAGGTAATGGGATAGTCACTATTAGAAGAACTATCTGTTTATGATGGCCACGGCAGGGACAAGGGTTGGACGTATTTCTTTTGGATGCATAACGTGAGTTTGAGCTTTTGCATAGCTAGTGCCTCGCCTATATCTAGATGCCTTAATTTTACTCCCTTTGATAGGTTTGATCGAATCTTGTATATTATTTTGAAGGATTTTTCGAATGGCACTGAATGTCCTGAATTGACCAGATGTTCTGTCACCGAGCTATATGCACGTTTTCGTTCTCGTTTTACTAGTCAGGCTGGATAGTGTTCACGAGTGTGTCTTCAAGTTGGCGCATGGTACGGAAAATGTACTCAGCTCCGCACGAGCAAGTAAACTGGTATGTGCACGTTGAGGTGGCCCAATGCGACAGCTTGTCTTTTGCTTTCTGGCTGAACAGTTTCTTGCAGGAAAACGTCAGTCGTAGGCTTGCACAATATGTCAATCTTCTCTCAGTAATTGTGATGCTACGTTGTTCGAGTTTTACCCGTCCTCCCCCTGTTTATTATGGCGTTTTAATTCCTAATTGTAATTTTTTTAATTTGACCCTTGACTGGAAATTATTCTGGAACTCCCCCCCCCCCATTTATTATAGAAAAAAACACGAATGTACAGCTACCTGATCGATGACTTCGTAGAAAAGAAAATTTCCTTCGCTGTAACTATTATCATTATTGATTTTTCCTTGGGTTACCTGAAAAAAAACAGAAGGAACATTAATGTAGTATAGCTGAAGTGCCTAGGAGACTGTTTGAGGCTGGTTACACACATGGCCTATCTGAAGTTGCGTCTGTATTAAGTCGGAGTGTGAAATTTTAGGGGTCTACCTTTCTCAGCCCCTTCGCCCAGTTCCTCAGAGAGGAGAGACAGAATAGCTGGCCTCTTGATCATCCTAGGGAAACACCTTCTTACTGTTACATCTCTTTTGTCCAGCAGTATAACATTGCCCACAGATCCCACCCCCCTCCGAACAACAACCTACACTATGATAGTAATTGCTTTTAATCTAACCGTTATCGAAACGATCTTTCTGGCATGATATGTATGACTTGAAGGAGTATCGGTTCCAGCTTGTGTAGTTCTCTGGTTAATTCCGATATGCAAACCTGACTATGTCGTTAAGGCAGCAGGAAAGACTAAGGCGAAGCAACAGTGAACAATAGGTAAGATTCAAGAGTTAGCACACTGTAAAAGTAGACGTTGAGTGATACGTGATTGTCTCAACTTCCTTAATGTTGAAGGTTCTTGGAAATCGATAAGATATAGGATGACTAACGAAGAAAGGTGAGAAGATTGAAGTATTCCAAAGTATTTAATACTCCATTTAAGTGCCCTCTATGCTACAGGCATCTTGTGAACGGACGAATTCGTGTAGACCACGTTTATGCCTGACGGTGAAGTTAACTGTCTGACATTTTGAGGGATTTAAGATAAGACCATTTCTCTTAGCCCACTGGTCGATGTTTGACAGAAAGCTATGCAGTTTGGAACAGTCAGATCGGGGGAAGTGACTGGCAACGAAACAGTCAGACCATCAGCATATTTGACAAAGTTGATTTCACCTGAAAGAGGCGAATCATGTAAGAAGAAAGAAAAAGGAAGAACAGAGGAGAACACCACCTTGAGGAACTCTGTCTTCAGTAAGCAAGGCAGTGAAAGATTTGCCTGCAATACTGTACTGCATACTGTTAGAGAAATAAGAATGCAATCAGTCATCAGCCTAGGAATGGATTTGTGTCAAGGAAAGCTTATTTAACAGAAGACATCTGGGTACAGAGCTAATAGCTGATGTTTAGTCACGGAAGGTACATCGAACATATTTGGCTCTTTAAGCTAAACCATAAACTTATATGTAATAGTTGAGATTTGACTCCTTGGTTTAAACACACACTATTTTAAGCCATTGCGTCGCATTTTCAAATCCTCCTTCACCTACTAAAGTTAGTCCGGCCACGTAGTATGGTTAGCTGTCAAATATATTGGGTATGGTTCATTTGCCAGTTGCATGGAAATGCAAATTGTTGTCGTTGTTGAGTAACGCTCACACTTACTTTGAAAGTTTTGACTGCATCTCATGTCTCCTCTGACACACACACACACCTAGGTCATGCAGTTTTGAATCTAGTGGCTTCACTATTGACCCATTCACTATAAAATCTAATTATTCAGACATTTGAGTTTGTAGGAATTTAATCCTAATTTCAATTTGGATTTCATCATGAACCACCATGAAGCATTGAACAACTGTCTCGTTTTAATGTGGAACTCTTCAGTGGTGTGTACTCCTAAAGTAACTGAATAGTCAACGGTGAGTGTAGCCTCGTAACCTGAAAGTTGGGTCTTGCATCCAACCTCTGGTGAGATCGTCTATGCGAACTGCCTAAGAGCGAATGCCTAGCTAAGACGAGAGAGCTGTACATTCCTCAGTGGGGTTCCCTGATGTATATCGATTTGTCACTAAAATCTACATTAAAACTGAACCAGGCTTATGTATTGATACTTGTCTATTTGTCATCTCTATCGAGTTGATGTAATAATAATAATAATTTTTATAAATAACATTGTAAATATTTTCAATTGAATTTTATAATTTAACTTCCGTTTTATCAAATTAAAATATCATCAAAGGATTCATTACCAGGAACAAAACGTCCACGTAAAACGAATCAGTTACAGTTGAAAGAGGCTGACATATCCAGTACAGAATGCAATGAAGGCAGTACAACCGGGAATACAGTATACGAGGCTAGTGCTACTGCCGCTGGAACAATTCTTGACCTTCAACCACCATGGCCAAATGCCAATAAGAAAATGCTGCGTATAATGCGTACTTATTCAGAAGATGGACATCAGTACACACGGACAGAATTAGTACCGTGGTCACCTGTAGTAGAAATCTATTTGAAAATTCGTCAAACACGTGATGATGAGTTTATTCATAACTTTGTTGACTCAGATGATCATTTCCGTGAGCAACAGAAGAAAGAGAAACGAAGATTACAGGTATTATTGAAATGTTATAGCTCCTTGTTATATATATAATTGTATTATACGTACTTATTCTATATTAGTTTGTTTACTGAATGTATCACACAGTGATGAAACAGTATTATTTACTGGATGACAACGTTTCGAATAAAATTTATTGCTGTTCATAATCATATCATCAACTGAAATCTATGAGTCTGCCTTATAACCGGAAGGTACTAAGTTCGAACTAGGACGAAGGAAACAGCTGTCCAGTACTCCTTCATTGGGGTTTTCGGATGGTTCTCTAATTGACACCAATCCGTGGCCAACACCTTTTTCTTTCAAACGCCAAAACCGATGATAATTTTATCAAAATGAGAAATCGAGTCTCAATGAAGACACTATGATTCTCATTGGGGGATATATATTGGATTCCATTGCTGTTGACCCACCATCAACCGAATAATATTAGTGTTAATTATCAGACGTCAGAAACCTTAGGCCGGAGAATTCTTAACAATGCAGGCAGGAATAAAAGTGGCTGGCATTCAAACCACTCACAAACTCAATTAGAAACAAGCAACATGCAGTTACACACAACCATATAATAGTATGATGGGATAGGATGATAGTTTTAAAATCTAATGTAACAGGGTGGAGGGAGAGATGGATTAATAACAGAAGCTTTGTTTATCGAATCGACTGCAAATACGTGTAATAGGAATGATTCAACACCTGTCCACCCAGATATCTGAAAAATTCTACTACCCCACCCCAGTGGCGACAAATAGGAGACAACAAAGGAAACTATACAACTCAAGTTTCAAAGTCGTATGATTATAATTGATGATATGATTATGAACCACAAGAAATTTTGTCCGAAACTTTGTCATCCAGTAAATAATACTGTTTCACTCACTGTGGGTGATACATCTAATCAGCAAACTAACACTGAATTAATTACTACCACAGTTCCCAAGTTTTACACATACATTTATACGTTCCTATGTAATGCATTATTTATGAAAGTGTTTCGGTGGCTTCTTGATATGTATCCATATATATATATATATATATATATATATATATATATATGGTGGTCTCTCTTTCTGTTGCTCTCTTAGTCTGTGACCATTTCACTTTGATGAACCTGTCTCCTTTAACAATGTATATTCCCCTTATAGTATATATAATATGTGTGTTTGTTGATAGTCTGACCTTGGTGACATATATCCATATAATATGTGTGTTTGTTGACAGTCTGATATATTTTGCCATGAATATATGGATCGATACTTCATTATAATTAGCCAATCATGTTAGGACTGTCTATTGATTTGTTCACACACTTGTTCGGACATTCATATATATATTTTTGCTCGCACACTCTTGTGTGACATTGATTCTCCTTGTGTTTAGAAAATAGAAGTATCATCGCAAACCTAGTGGTCTTCTGATTTCCGTCTTTCTTGCGTCAGGACTATTAAATTCTCGACCAGTACATAACAATAATTTGGCGTCGAGTACATAACACTTCTTCAGCTGAAGTATTTGACTATCGGTAGATTGATCATATATTCCTGCCTCGTTGTCATCTGCACTAGAAATGGAATATTAGATGGCTTTCATGCCTCCTAATACACATAAATCATCTGTTAGAGATATTAACTGTCTTATGTTTTTGATATTGGCAAGCGTTAATATGACTTACTGAAATACCCAAAACATGGGAAGGATTTGTGTAACTTGACTGACTGGAGATCTTCTGAGGCAACTAACTATATGGGACTGACTGATCATGCATTTCCTTTGAAACGGATTCTGAATTTGTTTTCCGTATGAAGACAGTATTATTCGCTTGGGTTCCTAGTGAAACATGAGGCTTCAACAGAACATCTTCGTTTCATCCAGTCCCGCCTTTAGCTGGACTCCATGATATGTGTTCATCTCTTCCTTACACGATCTTCATGTCACTCTGGAGTTCTTGAAACCCAACTCGTTGTTTACCATGCGGATTCTCAATTCTAGAGCGTAGAGTGTGATGACACTGATTTGTCTTCGCAGAATATTTAATCCTTGTATAGGAGTACCAAGTAAATTAGTAATCAATTTAATTGAAGATCCAATTCCACATTATATTCCCATCCCGCTGTTTTTAATTCTCTTTGAGATCTACTCAACCGTAAGTTAAATGCTAATTTTGATCTTCCTTTCTATAAATGTACATCATTAAATGTTGTTGTGTGGTTTGAGCATGTAAGTAAGTGAGGGAATAAAAATAGTCAAGAAGTGGAGAGAGAGAGAGAGAAGTTTAGGCATCAAACTGTGAATGGAAATTAAGTAGGCCGCCAATAATCAAGTGACTATTTATTTATTTATTTAAACTACCACACTGAATTTTTACATTAAATCTTGTTTAAAATACACTTGATTCTATCTGTATAAAAAAAATAAAGATGTTTCAGGATTTCATCCTGAGCTGACACTAGTTAGAGAACCATTGGAAAACCTGGGAGTACTGGACAGCTGTTTCGTCCCACTAGTTTGGGACTCTTCATCAGCACGCACCCACCGGGATTCGAACCCAAGACCGTCCGGTTACAAGGCGGGCCGGAAGGACTTGGGTTCGAATCCCGGTGGGTGCGTGCTGCTCAAGAGTCCCAAACTAGGACGAAACAGCTGTCCAGCACTCCCAGGTTTTCCAATGGTTCTCTTACTAGTGTCAGCTCAGGATAAAATCCTGAAACCAATCAAATCCCTACAAACCAACATTTGAAAATAAAGATGTGTTTCTAATTTTTGTTTTTCCCTTTTTCTCCAAAAAATCAGGATCAATTACGTCGTCTTCGTAAACAACAACAAATTATACGAGAACGTGGTGGTGGTGGTGTTGGCAGTGGAGGTGCTATGTCCGGTATGAAATCTTCATTAGGATTAGGCAATAAAGCGAATCGGCATAGACGGCATAAAACGCTTACAGAAGCGTTGATTAAAATGCGTTGTGGTGCATGCGGTCAAATGGGTTAGTAAAATTACCTCTTTTTTTGTATTACTTATTCGTATGATTGTTATGACTAACTATTATGTATTTATTCCCTTAAATTCCGAATGGAGTGTAGGGCCTTTACAGCACACACTGTTGTCTGCAGTCCTCTTTTAACTTGTCTGTCTCCACCCTCGAAGAGATGCCTAACTCGTCGTTTACCACTCAGGTTCCCTCTCGAGGACACCTGAAGTGTAATGATGGCACTCAATAACCTACACACAGAGTGTGCCTCATTCCTCTCCATGGCTTTCTGCATTATTTTTGGGCAATCGATTCTTGATTGGTTAGTTACAGAGTTCGTCTGTTTTCGAAATAGAACCCCGCACCGATGTGTAGCAAGCAGTTCAAGTCGACACACTCCACTCCTTGTTGTAGCACACAAGGCGACAGAAGAAAGTAGAAGAAATGCATAATAGAGACAGTAGACAGGGATATGAGACAAAAGGAATAGTAATAACGAAGAACAATATAGTTTCATTGGAAATTACAAGTCACAAGGAGTGGATGCATCTGCGCCAGCCATCAATGAGAACGATGAGTTTGAGCCATATCACCAATTGTTTCCAGCCTTCATTGGTTTTTACTGTCCCGAGGACCCTAACCAGTCAGGAAGTTTACACCTTCTTACTTGACTAGCTGGCTTAAACTAACTGTTGTGGATTTCATTTACTGGTGATGCCATGTTTTGGTTCCAGCCTGACCCTATGTTAGTGGCTAACATTTCCCGTTGAGGAAGGCGATGACTAGGCAGCCATTCGTAACACATGTCCTAACCATCTCACTCAGTCGATGCAACTTCACAGCCTCGTCAGTTGATTTCTTCTCCTTACCTGGCACTCGACCGAGGCCTAACCTCAATATTGCTCACTCTATTACACCTACCACTTCACATGGAAGGTAGAAAGCAGGCACCTATGATCATGTGTTCCACTTTCAATGGCCATGTCTCACTCAGCCATAAAGAAGGACGGAGTGGGCTGCTGAGCAGTACAAACACACGTCCTTTGGTCGACAACCAGCCGGATATCAAGTCTGCTAAGTCAGAGACAGCGTAAACTGGCATATGCGAAACTAGTCTTCTCTATCGGTGCTGAGATTTCGTCAGAGATCAACCCGTTGGCACTGGCTGATGGTACTTCCCAAATAAGTGAAGTGGTCAGAGTGCTCTACCATTTCACTCCCTATTTCTCAACAAGGAGTCAGTGCAGTGCAGTGCAGTCCTGTAACATCATCTTATATTTGGCGGGAGCGAATCGCATGTCAAACATTCGTAGATTGCAGCTTAAGGTGTCAGTTACGGATTACAGAAAGGTACTTAAATGACTGACTAACTGACTGGTTTCAACGTAGAATTTTGCACAGATGTGCAACAGTTTCAGTCGCTACACTCCCTCCATGTAGCACACAAAGCAAGAGAAAGTAAAGAGAGATTCAAAACAGAGATGTGAGTGAAAAAGAATAGTAATATCGATGAAGAATACAGTTTTATTGGATTTTAAAGTCACAAGGAGTAGATGTATCTGTGCCACTGAGAACGATTTTGAATCATATCATCACCAATTGTCTCGAGCCTTCATTGGTTCTTACCATCCCGAGGACCCTAATCAGCCAGTCAGGAATTCTACACCTTCCTACGTGACTAGCTTAAACTAACTGTTATGGATTTATTTAAGTGTTGGTTTGTAGGGATTTTGGTTGGGTACAGGATTTCATCATGAGCTGAGATTGGTTAGAGAACCATTGGAAGACCTGGGAGTACTGGATAGCTGTTTCGTCCCACTGGTTTGGGACTCTTCACAGTACGCACCCACCGGGTCTCGAAACCAGTACCTTCTGGTTACAAGGTTAGCGAGCTCGTAGACCAATGAGCCACTGGAACCCGATCCAGTGGCTAGTCCATGAATTCTAACTTCTGCCAATTCATGACATAGCGCGGCCACTAGCCAATGTCATCGGTGGCGAGTATTTGTCCTCACACCCGACCTGCTGCACCCTACTGGCCATGACTTCATTGACTGATGAAGCCATGTTTTTGTTTGACCACCACCAGTAGCCCTTAATAATAATATAATATTAGTACCAATAGCAAAATATGGATAACAAATGATCTTGGAATTATATATTCAAAGTAGAAGAAGGGGATGGCGACGTTTTTTCTGTCTACATAAATCAGAATTTTCCATCTGAATTGCTGGGGAGCATTGGCGATGCAAAGTATTCAGAAGATTATTTTTTTGCGGGAGGTTTCTTTTGATTTTGTAGATAACTTTCAATGAACTCTCCTTGCTTACTTGAATGGTCAGTGCTGAATATAAATATATGCTCAATTCTGGTGCCACTATTTATTGATCCATTTTGTTACCTTTCTGCAAGCAGACGAAATAATTTGCTTTTGACTATTTAAAAGAAAACACAAATTGAACGATCTATTTATCTCGCTCCACTAACGACGACGACGACCTTCTGGCGGTGACACTTCAAAGAAGAGAATATCAAACTCCTTGGAAAGTACACTCTTCCCCGCCCCCCCCCACCACATTACAATTGGTATTCTCTTACTGCCTAATGTTCTCTAATAACTGTAGAAAGATAAACTATCTCATTTGGCCACTTCTATGTGTATCTAACAATCCCGCTGCTCACGTGGAGCGCGAGTTTTATGCTGGCTACAGAAAGATGACTATTGAGTACAAACCAACAGTCATTTTCAAGTAAATCGGTGGGTGGTGTTGACTAACAGTAGAATCCAGGACAATATGCATTTCTTCCTATTTTGGAACTCGTCAGCGAGGAGTGAATGTACCTACGTCCCCCAATGAGTGATTGTGTATCCACTGAGACTCGAACCCAGTACTCATAGTTTCAAAGGCCAAAGCGTTATATACTAAACCACCCTTTTTTTTGGGGGGGGGGCATGAGAGTCACCTCTTTCTTGTGCAGTGGGGCTATCAGTAATTATTTGATTCAATTTTCACTCTTCGGTTCTCAAGTTGATTGGAATGCTGGATTAGCTCCAAACGACGAGTAGTCCTAAATAGGACGAAGTTTGCACTAGTGGGTCCCACTGCTAGTCACCACCATCCACCAATAATTTACTTCAGGTTGAATAATTGGACATCGTCAAAGCATCTGCACAAAAAGCTGACAAATAAAACCTCAGACCCTCAAGCTCTTCAGTCGAATCAATCAACGGGAGAATCGAAATCGAATTATTAATAAATAAACAACTATTTTGTTCTCATTTAAAAGGAATATTACCCATGATCATTTTTACAATCTCTTAATTATTTTCCTATTATTCTTATCATTATATAGGTCATATGCGTACTAATAAAGAGTGCCCAATGTATGGACGTGGTGGTGGTAATCCCTCTGCATCTCTGCAGAATGATGCAGGCGTCCGGAGAACAACAGCAACACCAACTACCACAGAACGTGGTCACCTACGTTCACAAACCTCTCTACGCAATTTATCGCGTTCATTTGATGACTTAGGTAATTCTAAGCTAGACGATAGAGGAGAATTAAGCTTCTTAGAGGCCAACTGTTATACTGGTCGAAAATTAGAACCTGAAACAATAGCTGCAGCACAAGCATTAGCCTCTCGACCTGTATGTGAATTGTTGGCAGAACAAGAAGAAGAGGAAGAACAAGAAGCAAAAGGTCATCATGGTCATGGTACAGATAGCCTTGATGACAGGCATCATAGCAAAGATTCAGATGATTTTGATGAATCATCTATGCATAGTGCTTTAGGCGAGAATGATATGACGGTTAGTATTCTTTCTTTTTTTTTTTACTTAAATTATTATTGTACTCTTCTTTTATGTACACTTTCACTCACTATTCAAAATTGATGTGTGCTTGATGTCTGTTTGTCTAAGTCATATTACTTTACTGATATAAAAAGACACAAAACTTGGTAGAATATGCCATCAAGATGGTGTGCAACACAATAACAATAATAATAAAGCAACAACGGTAACGACAGAAGACAAAGACCAGGCAACAGATCGTTTACTGAGGAAATCAACAGATATTTATATTGCATAGAGGATTTCATCATGAGCTGACATTAGTTAGAGGACCATTGGAAAACCTAGCTGTTTCGTCCTAGTTTTGGGACTCTTCATCATTACGCACCCACTGCCAGGGTTCGAACCCACGACCTTCTGGTTACAAGGCTGGCGAAGTCGTAGACCATTAAGCCACTGGGAGCCGATCCAGTGGCCAGTTATTCCATGAATTCTAACTTCTGCCAATTCATAACATAGTGACTCAATGGTCTACGAGCTCACCTTGTAACCAGGAGTTCCTGGGTTCGAGCCCTGGTGGGTGCGTACTGATGAAGAGTCCCAAAACTAGGACGAAACAGCTAGCTGTCCAGTACTCTCAGGCTTTCCAATTGTCCTCTAACTGATGTCAGCTCATGATGAAATCCTCTATGCAATCAAACAAAATCCCTACGAAAACAAATACCTGAAATTTGTTTATATATTTTATGTACATTATTATTTCTTATTATTAGTAGAGAAACAGCATCTTACGATTGGTTGTTTTCTTGCTGAAAGTTAATCTGTCATCTCTTTGCGGCTGTTTCTTTGAAGGTCAGACCATATATACATATATGGTAATTGGTGTGCCATCTGCCTCACAGACTGTCTCACTGATACCCTGTTTCTTGTTCCTGGTGACTCGGACGAGCTGGAACAGCTTCCGGCTATTGCTAGACGCAACTGCTGACTCCATCTTACACACACGTTCTAACCAGCAGGCTTCTTGGTCTTTTTGTAAACACTGTTTAATCTTGCATGTAAGCGTCTTTTGCATGTTGTTGTATCCGCTGCCTGCTGGAATGGACTGAAGTTGCAAAGAACTTTCAGAAATCCAGCTTTTTTTTAGCGGAGCATTCTTTTAAGCCCCAAGTGACTTCACTCGCCATTGGCGCATATAGCCTTGCAGATGTAGCCAATGTTCAAATATACTTCTTGGAGGGTTGCTAGTTAGCGTTAATTCTAACTCAACCTGCTATTTCAAAGAGGTAGCAGTTTTCTGAAATCAACATATAGATGATGGCGTTTATGAACCCCACTAAATTGCAAGACGAGCCTGACAAACACTACTAAAGCATGATCGAAGTCCAGACGTGCACTCCAGAAGGAGCGACAGTCCTTTATATGCATCCTTGCCATCTGAAATTGACAGAAATATGATGAGTCCAGACTTGATTTTTAGAGGGAGGTTGCCTGGTAGCTCTACGGCGATGGCTGTGCCGGAAGTTGGTGCTGGTTCGTGATCTACGCAAAGCTTCAGAAGACGGTCCCTATTATCTGACCTGCGCCCTTGTAAACTCCACTGATCATTTATACGACTCCTCTGCTCCTAGACCAGCTATGCTGGGTGCTGACCCCACAGAGTCTCCGGATAAGGGCATACAATTGAAATGACGTAACACATATGCTGGACATATGGGGAATTACAATACCACATCAGGAGGCTGATGTAAGGCTGTAAAAATCAAGTCAAGAAGTCATGTCAGTGGTTTGATATGACAATTGTGACCAAGAAATTGTCCTCAAAATATCGTCTAATTATTAACACTGTATCAATATTGTGTGTTATATACGAACGAAGTGAACTTGTCTAATAGAAAATTATACTCAACTGCACAGTGTGTGTGTGTGTGTGTGCGTAAAATCCTTCTCCTACATATATTCTCTATTTCAGGTTGAAGGAACTAAGCTAAAACTTCACTCTGGTTTAACGAAATACATTAAAGAACAAAATCGTCGTAATCTAAAGCTGAAAATACGTCGTCAGTTGTTAGATCGTTTGGATGCTGCAGCTGCTGTTGTTCAATCAGCAGTTAATTCAAGTCGACGTGGAGCAATGGGTGGTGGTCGTGGCGGTGGTGCTGGTGGAAGAAATCGACGCTCCAGTATGGGTATTAATGATGATGATTTTCCGACAAGTATTAAACATCGTGGTAATCGACGGCGTATTGATCCTCGTGTTGCATTGAATCATATTTTTGAAGGAATCTATAAGGTGATTTATAGGTCGTTTATTTATGTCTTTTTGTTCTTACGTTCTTGTTTATTTATTGAATCGCAGAAAGGGGTTCATTATGGGCGCCAAGAGGTGCACTGTACAAAATCGCATAGATTGTGTGGGGGAGGTGGTTCTCTTAAGGTGTCCCTCCCCCCCCGCGAGTATTGGACTTGAAATCTGATCCATGACACAGTGGAACAGCGTCAAGAGCTACCTTCCCATGATTACCAGGGGCGAAACCAGGCTCATACACATGTACACCATAGGTTTGGAATGAGGGTTTCCCAGCGTCCCATATGTAGATCTGCATATCCACCTGTCCGGTTGTTAGTGCCATACGTTCGGTTTCACCCCTTCTTTCTTACGAGAAAAACCACCACCACGTGAAAGCAGTGAATAGGATTTACCAGGTGGAGACTGTGGAGAAGGATTAGCCACACACACACACACACAAGATCATTTCAAAAGGAAGTTTACCACCTCCCCCTTGGTCGTACCTGATCGTTTATGGAGTTTTATGTGAATATATAAACATAAGTCTCCACTTACTCGATAGAAGTCTAAATTTAGGTACACCGTAAGCTATAATCTTTGCTGTAACTCCTCCTAAAGATGTGTCTTATCAACATTATTGCCTCAAAGTGGACGTTCATACTGGTGGAAACCTACTTCCTTGTTGGATTTTATGGCAGTAAGTACTTTGAATAGGTTTCACCAACAGTTAGTTAAATCAAGGTAGTCTAAATGAACTAGATGACTGGCGCAGATGCATCCACTCCTTGTAACTTATGATTTCCAATGAAACTATATTGTTCCTCGTTATTACTATTCCTTTGTCTTACATCTCTGTTTACAGTCTCTATTATGGATTTCTTCTATTTTCCTCTCTTGCTTTGTGTGGTACATGGAGGAAGTGTGGCGACTTGAACTGGTGCACATTGGTGCAAAGTTCTATGTCGAAAACAGACAGACAGACAGACAGATAGCTGGCTATATCACTTATTTCGGATAGGATCAAGTTCATTAGAAAAATTATCTGAATTGATTGAGTTCAGTGAGCCTATTGCTAAGTGAAGAGAATATATCTCGATTGGACACTAGGTGGTGGTAACTAATCCTTGGTGTCCGTGCAAACTGAATTTTTTATTTTTGATTACAGCTTGATTCCACACCGTATTTTTTGGTACAGGTATGGAATTTCCAGCATGTGATATCGGTAGCCTAAATGTAGCAGGTCGACCATAGATATCAGGTGTTCGTCGGCAGGGGATCGAACCCCGGACCATGTGCATGATCGGCGAGAGTGGTAAGCACTATGCCACCAGTCATGTTAGTAATGTCGCCATCATGATTGATAGTTGGCTCACCATCACTCACTGCACTCTGAATTGTTGTTAGATGGTCGATTACAACTGACAAAAAACTTTGGACCTAAGTTTCGCTTTTGTTAGCACTCGTCATCAAGGCGCACCCGAAATCTTCAAAGGACTTATATCTCTTCTGAGATTCGAACTCAGGTCACCTGGTGCTGCAGGGTCAATGAATTTACGAGTGAGCTATTAGGACTTGTAACGTCATAATAATAAAATTTGGGCATTGGGGTAGTAAGTAATTCCATATTAGTTTGTTTATTAGATGCATCACACAGTGAAACAGTATTATTACATACTGGATGACTTTTCGAACAAAATTAATTGTTCATAATCATACCATCAATTGTAATGACATGACTTTGAAACTTGAGTTTTATGCTTGACCCTAATAAGATAAGAAATCTAGAGAATATTTCAGCTGCAGCACTCACTACATGCAATTACACAAAACCATACAATAGGATGGGGGTAGGATGACGGTGTTAAAATCTAATGTAACAGCAGGGTGGTGGGAGAGATTGATAACAGAAGCTTTGTTCATCGAATCAACTGCAAATACATGTAATAGGAATGATTCAACACCTGTCCACTCAGATATGTGCAAAATTCTACTACCCTAGTGGCGACGAATAGGAGAGAACAAAGAAAACTATAAAACTCAAGTTTCAAAGTCGTGTGATTATAATTGATGGTATGATTATGAACCGCAATAAATTTTGTTCGAAACGTTGTCATCCAGTAAATAATACTGTTTCATCACTGTGTGTGTGTGATACATCTAATAAACAAACTAATATGAAATGAGATATAAGTCTCTTGGAGATTACAGATACACCATAATGACGAGTGCTAACAAGCGCAAAACTTAGGTCCAAAGCTTTCTCTCAGCTATTAGAACTCACAAACGATCCTCTGTAGAACGCTAGTGGATACTCTGTCTGAATTGATTGATTTCTTCAATAACTCAAACCCTTGGTGTATTGTTATTATCACACATAATGTCTACCTTGTGAGGCTGTTTTGTGTAATCCCGCTATTTTAAGCATGTCTAGGCTTCACTTAATTTAATTCTACTCATAATGGCTTTCCTCTCCTGCTATTGTTTCCAAATTTCATCTCTCCAGGGTCTTACTCAAATACCCGGTTATAAAATATTTATGCATCCAGTGAAAGAGAAAGATTTTCCTAATTATTATTCACAAATTGATACCCCAATGGATTTATCTCAGATACGTATGAAAATCAATGAGAATAGTTATGCTACACGTGAGGAATTCTTATCTGATATCCGATTAATCTATAATAATTCTTCAAAATTCAATGGTAAGCAGTATTAGTTTAAAGTCGTTTTGTTTGTTTGTGCGTTTGTGTGTGTGCGTGTATGTGTCTGTGCCTTCCACTTTATAACATCTATCTCATTGGATTGTTCTGTGTATTATTGAATGCTAAGAATCTAACTGTCCACCTGATCAGATTCTGCTTAGTGTTGTTGTGCATAGCTTTAGCGTTTCTTTGTCCCTTCATCACATCCATCAGGAGTGAGTGAGTAAGTGAGTGAGTGATAGCATGCTCACCCCTTAAAGTGGGAGATTCTAGGTTCTGTTATAGGCAGTTTGTGTGGGAGCCGGATAGTGGGTGGATCTAGGTTTTCCGTAGTTTTCTTTTACTGGTGTTCATACTTGATGAAATCTTACTGGAAAATGCGATTGAGTTTTTTGAAATGCAAACTATGTTCTTCAAGGTTAGATCAGTCTGATAAACGCAAGAAGACTGATTCCAGTGAGCTTCGCTTATGTTGAGGAGCGAATGCTGCACAAACGCAAACGGAAATAGAGCATTTCCAACGACCTTGAACAGTAGTAGGCGACAAAGGTAGAGGAGATGGAAAAGACATCATGAATAAGTGGTGAAAGGCAAATAGTAAGTGTAAAAATCTCTAAGACTAATGGAACCATAATTAGCTCTCAGGATAGACGACTAAGAGGTTGGAAAGAACACTTCTGAGGAGTAATTTAATTGGCCTACAGCTACGCTCAGCTTACCCAGCATCCAACATCTTCCTGAATTGGATATGCACACCAGTCCTCCGTCCCCAACTGAAGTTACAAAAGCTGTCACCAATCGGAAACGAGGTAAAGCAGTGGGACCTGGTGGAATCACTCCAGAGGTGCTTGAGAGTGGTATAGACAGTTTACTGTCTGGGTTGACTAAGGTATTCGATAACGTCTGCTTACTGTTCAGTAGTTCGTTCTATCCCTCTTTATGGCTATGAAACACGGTTGTGAAGTTACCTCGGTTGAGATAGTTAGGACATACATGCCTAGCCATCCATCGCCTTCCTCGATGGGCGGCAATGTGAGCCGTGGAAATAGGATGAATCAGGTTAGTAAAGTGCTATCACACGGTGGTCAAACCAAAACATGGCTTCATCAGTCAGTGAAATCCACAACAGGTAATCACTTCACTCCATACTATGTAAGCCAAAATACCCAACAAGGAGTTCATTAAGACAGTTGTATGGCATTCGCTGGTCACTACTGTACTATGCATCACGAATTGGCAGAAGTTGGGATTCATAGAACATTGCATCGTGGCCCAATTGGTTGAATAGTCTATCAGCTCGGCTCGTAACCAAATTGTCCTAGGTTTGAACCCCGGTGGGTGGGTTGGGTACTGATGGACAGTCCCAAATTAGGACGAAACAACTCTCCCAATATTTCTCTAGTTGACATCAGCTCGTGATAATACCTGTAACCAATCAAATCTATACACTCCAACTCTTTAAAAGTAGGTAAAGTCAACTTCATGTGTATAAGGTGGTAAATTACAGTAACGCTGAATTGGCCCCAGTACACCTTCTGTTCATCTAAGCATCCATTAACCCAACTGAACTCGCAGTTAAAAGATATGGTATATACATTCACTCATATCAATTCATCATGTGGATAACTGTGTGAATAACAATACAACCGAGGAAACGTGAAGAACCAAACAACTTAAGGAATTGTTGGAAGGCTGGTACTTGGATAAGTCTGAAATTATCACACACACACACCTCGATGTAGATCAGATTTATCAGGCAAAGAAAAAAGTCACATAGGTAAAAGGGTGGTTAGATATCAAATGAACAAAATAAAAGCTCACTTCTGTCATCAATAATAGCGTCACTGAAAATGCTGTCTGTCTTTTTAGCGGATATACAGTATGAAAGCTTGCTTTGTAATTTCATGATGAGCTGACACTAATTAGAGAACCATTGGTCTACGAGCTCGCCTTTTAACTGGAAGATGTTGAGTTCGATCCCTGATAGATGCGTACTGCTAAATAGCCCCCAAGCTAGGACGAAATAACTGTTCAGTACTCTCTCCCAGGTTTTCCAATGGTTCTTTAACCGATTTCATATGAAAACCAACACTTGAATGAGCTGGTTTAGCTGACAAATAATAAATACATCATTCCCTAATGTATATTTATGTATTTTTTCGTGTCACAAGGCCTACTGATTTATTTTTATTTAAACGCAGAAAATAACTTGCTACAATATAGCACCAAGAAATATGCGCCACACAATAATAATAAAACAACATAGGTCAAAAGTTAAAAAAAAAATTGGTAGAGAACGGATAAAGAACTTCTTCTGGAAGGAAAACAGTCATACTCAACAAGTTCAAACAGTATTCGTTAACTATCGTTGGGAAGGGAAGAAAGAAGGAAATTGCAACACTTTCGCCAGTGATTACGATTCTTGGCCATAATCCTATAACGTTTCGAGCCATCTATTCGAGTTGTCTCGCGGACCCCAACCAGGGAGTCGTGACACACCAACTGATGCTAATCTAACACAAACATCCCACGACGCCACGTCATGAACTGACCACCTCTCCGCCTTTTCCATCCCACCCCAGGGCTGGCTAGCGAATAGACACCTGTACGGAGGCCTCTGAGATGACATCCGAAGCACATGTCCAGGCCACTGGAGCTGGAGTTTCCAGATGACGACACTCAATGAATGGTGATCTCCACTGTGTTCAAACACACGCCGCCGAACCTCAGAATTACTCACGCAGAGCTGCAGCACATCCTCAGCCTACTCGGAGAGGCCAGGTTTCACAGGCCTAGAGCAAGACAGCCCGCACCGAAGCATTGTATACCTGACCTTTGACAGCCAGGCTAACATCGCGACGGCGCCAAAGATGGCGGCTCAAGTTGGTGTATGCCACCCTAGACTTCATGATACGGTTGGAAATGTAATCCGTCATCCCTCCGCCAGCACTCACACAACTACCCAGATACACAAACTTATCAACAACTTCAATCGGTTCACCTGCAAGAGTGAGTGCAGGTACAGACTCCTGTCAATCTTGTAACAGTACTTTGCATTTAGACGGCGCAAAAAGTACATACCATACTTACAGACACTGATTTATAACGTGAACAGTATTTTATGTCTTTTGCGTGTGTATGTGTGTGTGTGTATGTGTCCGTGTTCGCTTATCTTATGGTTTCCTTCTCTCTTTTGCCTTTCTATCATCATTCCATTTTTAGGTCGTTATAGTGCCTATACAGAGACAGCTATGAAAATGTGTTCCCACGTAATGGAACAATTTTGTCATAAAGAATTAAAATTAATGCGATTAGAATCATTAGTGAATCCTCTACTGGATGAAGATGATCTTGTCGGTTTAAGTTATCTACTGCAACAAGCTATTGAAGCTATGCGTAGTGTTGAGCATAGTCGACCATTTCATATACCAGTGGATAAACGAAGATATCCTGTAAGTGGTGGTGGTTCATTATTAACATTATTACTACAAACCTCACTATTTTTATTATTATTATTATTAATAAAGAGGTAAGAGGTGAGAAAAATAGACTTAGGTCAAGTAATGTATTTGCGCAACACATTTCGAACAATCTGATCACACACGGACTTGTCATAGGAATATATATATATAAAAATTAATAAAGAGGTAAGAGGTGAGAAAAATAGACTTAGGTCAAGTAATGTATTTGCGCAACACATTTCGAACAATCTGATCACACACGGACTTGTCATAGGAATATATATATATAAAAATTAATAAAGAGGTAAGAGGTGAGAAAAATAGACTTAGGTCAAGTAATGTATTTGCGCAACACATTTCGAACAATCTGATCACACACGGACTTGTCATAGGAATATATATATATAAAAATTAATAAAGAGGTAAGAGGTGAGAAAAATAGACTTAGGTCAAGTAATGTATTGCGCAAATACATTACTTGACCTAAGTCTATTTTTCTCACCTCTTACCTCTTTATTAATTTTTATATATATATATTCCTATGACAAGTCCGTGTGTGATCAGATTGTTCGAAATGTGTTGCGCAAATACATTATTATTATTATCATTCTTTTGGTTTCATAGTGGAACATAAGGCTACAACAGCACATCCCCGTTTCATGCTGTTCTCTTGAGTCCTGTTCCACAACTGCCCATAAACTTTCATCTCGTTTACACACGATCTCTCTGTCATTTCACTCCCAACTTGTTATTTCCTATTTGGGTTCCGCTTGGTGTTCTGTCTGGCACATGATGTCACCCAGTATGGTCTCCTCAGTGTCCGTTCACAGAGCTCCCCGTATCGCCTATTCCCTTTCTGACCACGTTGATCCTCTGCAGGAAGCGAATTCGTGCAGGTGTTGATACAAATCTGAAGGTTATCAGTAATGTATTGATCATATCTTCACCCTCCGACAGATTCTAGAACATAGGAATTCCTACCGGCGTCCAACAGTCATTATATTTCTTGACCTAAAGGCAGCATTCGACTCTGTCGATCGGGAAGTTCTCTGGAGATGCTTGGCTGTAAAGGGAATTCCAAGAAAATATATTGCACTGATTAAAGCACTCTATTCGTACTCATACAGCCAGGTGAGGGCTTACGGCGAGCTGTCATCTGAACTGATGACGACCAGTGGTGTCCGTCAAGGATGCCCATTATCTCCTTTTCTATTCAACTTCATCATAGATGTGTTAATGGACTTAACCCTAGGTGACTTCAGTGACTCAGGAATTGACTTGCTACCGGGGAATAATCTCGTTGACTTGGAATATGCAGACGATATAGTCCTTCTAGGCGAAGACGCTGACGAAATGCAGAGTCTTCTAAACACCTTGAGCTGTAATCTACGAATGTTTGGCATGCGATTCGTTCCCGCCAAATGCAAGATGATGTTACAGGACTGGACTACATCGACGCCTAGTTTAAAAATAGGAAGTGAAGTGGTAGAGCACGTTGACCGCTTCACTTATTTGGGAAGTACCATCAGCCAACGCCAACGGGTTGATCTCTGACGAAATCTCAGCACGAATACAAGGGGCTCGTTTCGCATTTGTTAGTTTACGCCGACTCTGGCGTAGACGAGATGTTCGACTATCGACCAAAGGGCGGGTGTACTGCTCATCAGTCCGCTCCGTCCTCCTTTATGGTTGTGAGCGAGACCTGGCCACTGAGAGTGGAAGACATGAAAAGACTAGCTGTCTTTGATCATAGGTGCCTGCGTTCTATTTCCCGTGTAAAGTGGCATAATAAGGTGAGCAACATTGAGGTTAGGCGTCGAGTTCTAGGTAAACAGGGGAAATCAATCGACGAAGTCGTGAAGCTACAAAGACTGAGATGGTTAGGACATGTGATACGTATGCCAAGCCATCGCCTCCCTCGACGAGCAATGTTAGCGGATATAGGGTCAGACTGGAAAAAAGCTAGCGGCGGTCAAACAAAAACTTGGCATCAGTCAATGAAATCCACAACAGTTGGTCTAAGCCACGTAGAAAGGTGTAGACTTCCAGGTTGGGGTCCTCGGGACGGTAAAAATCTATGGTTGGAAACAATTGGTGACATGGCTCAAACTCATCGTTCTCAGTGGCGCAGATGCATCCACTCCTTGTGACTTATGATCTCCAATGAAACTGTTTTGTTTTTCTTTATTACTATTCCTTTGTCTCACACCTCTGCTCACTGTTTCTATTATGCTTTTCTTGTACTTTCTTCTCTTGCTTCGCGTGCTACACGGAATGTGGCGACTTGAACTTCCGCACATTTGTGCAAAGTTCTATGTCGAAAACAGACAGACAGACAATGCTTTCCGTGGTGCTACAATCCTCCGAATCCTATAGGAAGAATCACTTACTCGTTAAAGTCAAAATCTAACAGTTATTGATTGATGAAAGCGTATATGCCTTGTTGTGTGGTGGTTAAATTCGAACCAATCACGTCTCCTCAAATGTCAGAGTATCGTCTATAAAGTTTCATAGTCATCTACCTGAGCTATCTACTTTGATACTTACTACCGGATCTATTAGTTAAGACTTGGTGATCTCGAAATGTATTTTTTCATATTATTATTATTATTTCCTTTAATTCCTAGAGGAACATAGGGCTTCAACCGCGCACGTCTCCATTGCGTTCGGTTCTCTGCTAAAGTTTTCACCTGGCTCCAAGTCTGCCCACATGCTTTCATCTCCTCTTCTTCTACACGACCTTCTCCAAGTCACCCTTGCACTGACGACCGACTCGCCTCTCCCCTTTCAGTCGGGTTCCACTCGAGCAATGGCTTATCTAGTGATGTTACTTGATGGTTTCCTCACAGTAGGCAGCCTTGTCCTACTCCTGTCTTCACTTCTTCGAAGGATTTCGTGCGTTTCCAGTTGTGGATGACTTGGCATGCAGCGTTGTCGTACAACTGTTGGATGAGATGCATAATTGTCGTCGGCACCTCTTGGTAGTAGCGAAGTAGTTGCCAAATCACCTGTCGATCAATGCTGTCGAAGGCCTTTTCAAAGTCGATGAAGTTGAGATAGAGGGGTGACTGCCATTCCAAGATCTGTTCAATGATGACCCGTAGTGTGGCGATTTGATCAATACATGACTTGTTTCTCCTGAATCCAGCCTATTCCGGTCGAAGTTTTTCGTCCAGGGCATGTTTGATTCTCTCCAGGATGATGCGGCTTAGCATTTAGCTTGGGATGGACAGGAACATGTCGAAAAGGAACATAATGCCGCGCCAGTTTTCGCATTGGTATAGGACAGATTTTCCATGTTTTACATGAACAGTAGTACAGATCAAATCATCTAAAAACATACTGACTACTTATAAGTAATGTGTTAAGAATATCAGCTTTATTCTTAATTCTTGCAAAAAAATATTTACTTCTTGCAAAGAGTCTTCAAATCATTCATATATATATATATATATATATATATATATATATATCGTATGAGGCGACGTCGTCATTCAATCTCTGTTTTTTTAAAAAAACTAATTCTTAAGCATCAACCAGTTTTCATTTGTTTTAAACTATACGGTCCTCTGTAGGCAGTGTCACATAGTCCATACTTTTGTTGAGACAGAAGTACCCTGAATTCAGTCCCTTATGAAAGTCAAATGAATAATACTTTTCACTATTTCATTAACAGTTATTCAACACAACTTTTTCAACACAGTGAAATAAAGACAATGAAAGACCTTATAGAGTCTTATATAGATAAAAATCACATTTCATTGAATTCTAACACTGTTCATACTTCTTCGAATTACTGTATCCACTAAAGATGTTGTCTAGGAAGACAATGGCGGAAGCTTCGCAGCTCAACGATCCAACTAAGCTATAAATCTTCTCCATCATATATAGTGCTGGCTAACTGGAATCTCCTACAGAAGCCTTGAAGTAAAACTAAACGTAAATCAATCATCAATATTTAACGGAAAAGCCATTTCAGAGGCGAACGACGTCAAGATAAACATTCAGAATAGAATGGGACTAAGAAGGTTGAAAAAAAAGCAGATAGTGTCTTGAATTTCGAGATGAAACAAGTCAAAGTAGATGATGAGGTGAGAATAGTTATTGCTTGTGAATTATCCAGTCAATTAAATAACTCTACAGCCATACTGGATACAATGTTGAAGGAGGAAGGAAATATCGTCTTTTTCTTCACAAACCTTCAAAGTTATCTACAGACTAAGTAGAAATTCAGTCATCAGGTGTGAAGATATAACAAAAAAATACCAATGACTACGCGCTGATAAACACCAAGCATCATCTGCGTCTTTGACAAGTTGACAAGTGATTACTGACTTCTGTGTCGACCAATAGTCTTTTGACCGATGTTAGTTTAATTATTATGATTACTTACAATCTACCAGACTATGGTCAGATAGTACTACTTAGTTCCTCAGGTTGATATAGGTGCAGCGGGGGATTCGAACCTAGAGCCCAACAGTTTTAAATCGAGTAATTAAGCCAACTTGTGTCACTTATAAGACTAACAGCCTCGAAGGATATCATTATTTCTTGTTCATCTATTTAGATGCCTCTGATTTTCTCTAGGAATTGGATAGTAGAGTTGATGCAGTGAGTGATCACAAGATTCCGTTAGGTGTTTTAGTTTTCTGTAAAATTCTTTGGATAAATTATATGTTTGAGTTCCTAGGAGTGATACAATTGGTCGTAACGGGATATTTGACTTGTGTATTTTGGGTCTGTTGCAGAATCGGGGTAGGATTGGTCTTGTTTTGTGATCTGTTCAGTTTTTTGGTGAGCTTGTTGTTTACGATCCTTTGAATGCGGTTGTCCAATGTTTGTATGGGATTTGTTGATATACATCCTCGTCTTTGAGTAGTTATTCAGCCTTCTTGGTATATTCTTCTCTGTCCATAACTACTGTTGTTCTTCCTTTGTCGGCTCGTAGAATGACGATATCTTTCCTATTTTTCAGCTTTTTGAGGGCTTTTAGTTCTTGAGAGTTGAGTTGTGTGTGTTTGTACCAATTGTACCAATGGACTAACAGCCTCATAGAGACAGATGCTTGTGATTTCACTCGAAGTAGATCTCACAGTGACTGACTGCATAATAACCAATGTATGCCATATCCCATATTCCTAATGACAATAGTTCTAATAAAGGTCCAATTCTAAATATATAATCAGCTATTCGCTACACTAAATCGATTGGTTTTAGAAGGTAGAACAATCTAGAAGTAATATCGAAATAATTATAATCAAGACTCGAAAACTGCATCCAGGCTGCCAGTCCTTGTCTAAAAGGGGACTCACACATTCTAGAAAGGGTTCAAAGGAAAAGAACACGTATGGTTCACGACATGACTAACTTATCATACGACGAAAGACCAGACAGTTTAAATCTCTTCTCCCTGTCATACCCTAGGCAGAGAGGAGATTTAATTACAATGTTTAAAATTTTAAAGAATGACTACGGACCTGACCTATTCTTTCTTTTCCTTCCCACCAGGTCGGAACACCTTAGAGGACATAGCAAGAGAGTTCAAAAGCCAAGAAGAAATTATATTGCTGTTAAGTACTGATTCTCACACCGAGTCATAAACTTTTGGAACCGACTCCCAGAAGAAGAAGTGGTGTCTCCAACCTCAACTGATTCGTTCAAGAAGGATTTGGACAACTACAAAAATTTACTAGAAAAGGATTAACATAGTCTCCAAGCCTTCTATCCTCAACCAATAAATCTGAAATCTACTGACAAATCCCGTTTGTCACTTCTGAATTTCGAGTGTGTGGGGATGTGGCTGATTGTCAGAGGTGATCGACAACCTTTAACCACTGGAGTCCTAATTCATGTACTTCATTCAGTCTAGGAAATGTATAGGATCAACTAACCGACTGACTGACTTAGTTTACAAAGTAAAACTTTGCATAGAAGTGCACAAGTTTATGTCGCCATACTCCATATAGTACATATAGGTTAAATAATATGAAGAAGGAGAAATTAGTGGGTCTCGGAGACGACAAAAAATAAATGCATCTACACAACTGAGAACACTTTGAGACATATCATCATCAATCTCAAGGACCTCAACTTGACAGTGTGGAGTCCTCAAGCATAAACTGATCCAACTTTTACTACTATGTGAGAAATGAACATATTGTACATTACTTTGTTTTAATCAGAATCTCTGTACTTTGAACTTGAGTCGGTAGCATAGCGGTTAGGACGCTCGCCGACCATGCACATGGTCCGGGGTTCGATCCCGGCCGACGACGCACTCCTTTACCTCACTCAACCAGAAGTAAAGCTGGTGAAGAGGAAAGATTGGACATGAGCCTAGCAACCCCATCCTGTAAAAATAAACACTGCTACAAAAACTTCAAGCCCCACTAGCTTGAAGGGGCCCTATGTTCCACTGGGGAACATGAAGGAAAAAAAAGTACTTTGAACTTAACCTCATGGTTTGAATGAAAATATAGTTCTGCCCTGCATCTCTCTCCCGCTTCTCCACCATCTCAAATGCCATCGGCCAATTCTAATTACCTACCTGCTATTTCAAAATTTCACAGGGACACCGTATTTTCTCCCCACGTTACCTTGGTCGACCCTGGCAATTATGAAATTGGAGAATTAAGATTGGAGCAGTCTTCTCACAATACTTCTGGAGTCTACTAAGTTAACTGTGGATTTGAACCTTGTAAATAACCCCCCAAGTAACAAATTTTAATATATTCTTCCAGTAACTTTACGGATTTTGTATTTTTTTCTTTAGAAATTTCTTTTCGAATTCGGGATATTAAGCTAGCTAAGTCTAAGGTCTGCCACAACAACTTACACATGACTGACTCAGTGGAATCAACAGTCAATGATAATTTAATGTCCTGTTTTGGTTTAATTACCCCTAACTCTTTTCCAGAGTGATTTCAAGTCAACTGACACTGTTTACGCTCTAGACCGTGCGTAAGATGTTATTCTGGTTTATTTTTCTTGATTAGACAATGGTATATATAGATAGTCTCAAGAACTTCTAATCGATGAATAACCCGGTACATACTGTCTCATACAATAAATCTGAGTACTATAAACCCCTCGAAGTTCACCGATAGAATGATAACCAACAATGTAGGCGGCGTATTTTATTTATTTCAGAGGATTCTTCTGCCTCTATAGCATCACATGAATATGCGACAAAGCTCCTGAACAGAAAAATACTTAAAATAATAATTTATAAATATGTCGTGGTACACTGGCTTGGGAACTCAACTTTCAGTAATAGTGGGGGTAAACACAGCCAATACTCCTGCTCTGCTTAATTCAACTATAACCACTACGGCAGATCATTGATGTAGCTCACAGCTGCCATGCATAACTGTTATAACTAGAGAGCTATTAGAAAG